TATATACATATAATTAGTGTATATATTAAATATAAAGTCACTGAACTTAAATTCAATTTCAATTTGTTTTTTTTCCTTGTATTTTCATTATTTTAATTTTTTTTAACTGACTTTTTTGATCACTTTTTAATTGGTATATGTACATATGTAACTTATGTGTATGCTTCGATTCTGCTAGCTTCTTGTGTCGATTTTTTCAAATTTCACTTTCGCCTTTGGCTTTACGTATTACTATTTCTTACTTATCCGCTATTTTTGACCATTTCATTAATTTTTTTCAGAAAAAAATTTATTATCTTTTTTGCGTTCAAAAAGAGAATGAGGCGACGTGGATTTTAGAAAGTGCTAAAGTGCATATGTTAAGTCACGCAGGTAGGTCCGTGCAGGCGATAAATGCTTAGGTAAAGAAAAACCACAAAATTATTAGCTGAACAAGCAAATCAAAGAAGAAAAAAAATAATATTGCAGGAGTGTTGTTAATGACGAAAAAATTTCACGAAATTAATGCGAAACGGAAACTCATTGTTATAGAAGTATTGGTTACGATTCGAAAAAATATATTTTGAGAAATCAGTGCACGTATATACATATGTACATCGATATGTGCATATACATATGCTAATGAATGCATAATTGCTTATATGCGCACGAGTATATTAATTTGTTTATATCTTGTACAAAGTAGTACATTGTATTTTTGTATGAAATAAAAGCTCTTTAAAGGTTATTCACAATATTTAGAATCAACCGTCCCAATGGGCAATTAAATGGGGCAATCACGATTTGCAGATGGAAACTTGGGCTATGACGATTTTTCTCATTAACACCCATATAAAGATTTTCTTTGTGCATCTCGCCATTTTTAAGTGATTCCAAACTGTTTGCTGTGCAATGTGTAGCTAATGGACTCGAGGATTTCCTTTATTTTATCGACATTTTCAGCTGACTGACTTGTGTTTTCGCCTTTATCGTAGAAAAACTGTGCGATATTTAACATTCGCTCAAACACTACTGGGTTAAATGATCAACACTTCGCTCTTTTTATTTTTTAATACAAAATATCATCCTTCTAACGACATCTAGCGTAATCCAATCGCACTTATAGAACGCGAGATACAGACCACTGAAGCAGTTTGATGCATAAAAACCTACTTTCTTATTAGACTGAAATATTCCACTCACGAATTCAAATATCAACTAATTTTTTGTACGCCTTTAGGTGGGTTTTACAGCTTAAAAAAATCGATTTTTGCTGTTGCATTTTTAATTTCTTCAACATCTTCAGAATCGATCCTCAAAGGCTGGAAGGCTTTTCGCTTTGAACTTTTCTATTGAAATATTCAGAAATTCTATCTAAAATCTATAGGACTAAGGCCGATTTTCTTCTGCAATTGTGGAGGAACCTAAAGTTTATATTATACCGCCGAACGGCTGATGATTTTTTATGAGGGGCTTTATGATTTTCATGTCAGAAATGCACTCGACGTGCGGCGACCACAATAAGAAAATTTAACTTAATTTATAAATTAAATTAATATTCTATATCTTTTGGATGTTGGCCGTAGGCCGTACCCATAACCTAGGACAACCACCATCAGATTACTAACAGACTGCGAAATGTTTATTCGTCTCAAGAACCCAAGATCTCTTCGAACCGAAATATGGCGAAAAATAATCTAACAGGATAGTTAATATAAATAAAAACGCTTTAAAAAAATATGCTTGGCGAGTCCGGTTGTCAAAGAATTTTTAACGAAATTTCGTGAAATGTTAATACAGGCCCACGGCGATTCTGCTATAAATATATCAAGCATTTACGAATGATGTGAGCATTTTTAAGAATACCGTGGGGACTTTGAAGATGAGGAGCAGCCGCCTAGACGCCCCAACACACATCAACAAGCGATGAAAACGTGGAAAAAGTGACACAAATTGGTTATGAAAAATCACCGCACTGCAATCAAAAACAACGCTGATGATGCTGGCATATCGATTGGATTATGTCATGATACATTTTCTAATATTTGTTATACGAAACGTCAGGAAAAATTGTTAAATTTTGAACAAAAACAGCGGCGAATGAAGTGGCTCAGCTTCAATTAGTTCGGCCAACGACGATACCCAGATTTTCGATAAATGAAAAGAACAGAGAGAGAGAGAGAGAAAAAGTAGACATCTTTTGTATACTTATAAATAAATATTTTGCTTAAAAACTGAAAATTCTCGTTATTTTTTTTAAAGACACTTCATATTCGAGAGACAATTTTTTTCAAAAATTCTTTCAGTAAATGTTTTTATATTCACTAAGAAACTCTTTAACTGATAGATAACACATAAGCTTATAGATAAATTATATTGTACATATGTATATACATATATATTTAAACTACTAAATGATATGATAAGTACTTTAGTGGGACCCAGCGGAAAAAAATGATGGTGCAGGACAATGATTTTTAACTGGTCTTAAAGACGGTTTTCAATGGTCAAAATCGTACTAGGATGATTTGGAATCGAATAATTTCAAATTTATTAAAAAATGGTTAATAAACCAGCATTGCTCAGACTGAAATTCAAATTCAATACCAAATTTAGTTACAGTATAATTGTTTAAGAAACTTTTTATCATATGTGGTGATCACTATCACACAATATATTAGGTGTAGTAAAAAGTAATCCATTATTTTTGCATGAAATTGAAGGCTTTAATTTTTACTTTTCATCTCCAGCATCTTTTAAATGGTTCGAAACGATTTTGTGTGCAATCCTTAGCTCTTGGACCACCGAAACAGTGCTTACATGACAGTCGGGATCGACAATGTCCTTGTTTATCGACATTTTCGACAATTTACCTTCCATTCCGTGCACATCCTTTACATCAAAAGTACCATAATGGATCAGGACCATAAACGCTATTCACATTTTCAGCCGACTGACTGCGTTTTCACCCTTATCGAAGGAATAATATAAAATATAGCATATTTTCTCTTTGCTAGTATCCATTTTTGACGCACCCTCAAACAAAACTAAAGCAACCAATCACAAAACTGTCAGAGAGGTTTTTTTAGTAGGAAATGTCATCATTCTAACGTCATCTAGCTGAAACCGATCAGACTCATACAACGAGAGATACAGATAAATTACGCCATCTGTTGGAGAAATAATGAATTTCTTTTTACTACTCCTATATATACATACATATGTATAAAATTGGGGTTTTCTAACCGTTGAAGAGATTTTCAGTCGAGCTTCATCTCCAATTTATGGTTTTGCGTCTTCATATCTTTCAAATAAATGAAGGGACTTACACGATAGGCGACAGCCATTATATAAATTTAATTTCAATCATTTTGGGTGTTGGTCGAACCAGGACTAGAAAGTAAGTAGTGCTAACCACTCGGCTATTACGGCCACTATCAGTCAATAAACTACTCAATTTCCTACAGGTTCTTTATTTCTATGAAGCGTATTGGATTTATTGTATATGCATCCACGAAGTGTTATTTTATTGTATTTCCGAGAATTTAAGTAAAAATAAACTTGATAACTGCTTATCAATAATGTCGACAGTGAACGTTGCAATTGGATGTAAGTTCCAGTGAGTGATTCATAAATTTTTATTTTCTTTAATTTTTCAAATTTTCGACTTTTATTGAGGTGAATTAAAACAACTAAAGGCAGTTGAGTTTCTTTAGCCTTTGAGATAAATAAACAAGATACTATTTGGAAATTTCACAACATCCTTCTAAATGTACATATACTCGAGGTTGTTGGTCTACCTCATGCCGATCTGAGTCGTTAACTTAATAAAGGTGGTCTGATACAGAGGAGGTGTTTTCGCTCTGTCACGTATTCTACGCGAGTAGATTGTGACATGTCACTAACCCTACAATCGTTCTGAAGAACCTTCGAGATTGCATGATAAAAAAATGTCTATACCTTTCTTTACTGCCTTCACACATCGTACAGGATCTTTCGTTTTATTTTTATATTAATTATCGTGTGTAAATTAAGCCATTTCAGCTCCCTTATGGGATAAAGCCTAACAGCCTCAATCCCAGAATATATGCAGCTGAAACACTGCATATGCGCAATCCACTGCTCCCATTTTCTGAAAACGTTGTATATCAAGTTCTTCTCTTCCGGTTAAAGCACAGATAGTCTATTCTGTCTTTTGCTTATTAAACTTTGCCTGAATGCCTTTATAGAGAATTCACCTGAAGACGTCCATCTTACAGCGGATTTGGCTACGATGTTTTCCAGCGAAATGTAGATTGGTATTGGATTGGTCGAGTAACCTTTTGAATGCAGCCGTCTCAGTAGTTCAGTAGTTTATATCATCCAATTTATGCAGAGAGCAGCAAGCCGCTGTATATTCTCTCGTGGTTTTCAGTATAAAGCTTTATTTTCCAGAGTCCACCTCGAAGGGTAAAACCATTTACTATTCTAGATTTAGAAATACAAATTCTGAAATAACGAAGTTGAAAGCTAAACATTCAATCCATCTTTCCATTCTTTCAAGTTATTCAAGCATCCTTCTTACATTAAGCATAATTTCTTTTTGAAAAATACAATCATGAACCCAAACGGGGGGAAGATACGAGCACATTCTCTGCCAGCCTGTAGTAACACTGAATCTACTGTTAACCGATCTTCTGAGTCTAAATAAATTAAAAAATAAAAGAGTCCTGTACAGAAAACAACCGAAAATTTAAAGCAAGACGAAGGGCAGAAGTTCTGATCCATTCATACCAACGGTGGGTCTTTGTCTATAAATTTCGACACAACCAGAACAACCTTCATTTGGAATATGTGTGATACAACAATACGCAACTGAACTTGCTAATCGAAATGAGAAAAAAACACGTAATCGTATCGTCTCAGGTGGATTTATTAAAAAAATCTCTGCTAATTTAGTAAGCAATGCATGTAATAAATCCCAAATATACGAGTATTTATTATTTGTATGTGTCAATAAATATGTATATTTATATACTTACATGATGATTACTTTATTTATTGTTAATCCAAAGAACTCGGCTGCTCACTCACTTTATCAATTACGTCAATTTAATTATATAAAAATCACTGCAATTCTAGAATTTCTCATAAATGCACAAATATACATATGTATGTGTACATATACAATTGCATAGTATTTATTAATGGAAATTACAGTGAAAAGGGAACACAACTTCGGCTTAAGACTCAATCATTGGAAGCTCCACTAACACAATATTATTGGAAAATTTTATTGCAACAAAGAAAACTAATCAAAATTCAATAAAATGAACAATTTTATGTTTATATATGTATACTCGTATATTTATGTATGCTTTTGCATACAAGTAAATCGCAAATAACTGGCATGTTAAGCAATTTGCTTATGGCTTTCCGGCTCGCCTTCCGGTTCAGACATCGGTCCAGCTGATTTTGGCTTATGTAGATAAATATTTTTTTCTGAAATTATGCAGTTAAATTTGCGCTTTCAATTGCATTATTTATTCAAACAGGTATTTATGCGTAGTCATAACGATTTTTACTTTTGATTTTGTTTTGTAGATTTGTATGGGCAAACATGTCGTTATTAAACAACAGATGATCGTTGCCACAAGCGCATCGAAAGTGACAGTTTCTGCCACCGGTTTGTTTGCATTTTTGTTGTTATTCGTTTGGTTAATTGGCATGTAGTTTTGCACAAATGTAGGTAAGTAGTGCCACGGCAGGTGGATCACTGATACAGATCTCTACGAACTTCATTCAACACTTCAAAACTTCAATTAGTTTTTTTTTTATATTAATATCATTTCATTTTATGGTATTGTCTTTTTCACATTTCACAACAACAAGCAAAGCCATTTTTGTAATAACATTTTCGCAAATACATATCAAAGATGAAAGTGAAGATCGCATTGACAGAAGCACTGATTTCATTGGCCGACTACTGATTGATGCTGTTGACAATTATGCGCGCATGCGATCATCGGTACCGTCGCGACAGCGATGGATCAACCAGTTTTGTCAACGTCAACGAGACACACAAGTACACGCGTTGTGACCTCCCGCTCGTTGGTCGCTTTGTTATTGCCTAGCTGAACTCATATGTATGTATGTATACATACAAACACTTTCACGTTCACTTTTTAACATTTAACACTCATCAATAATGCAATGCAATGATTAATTGTGGCAATTGTTGTTTTTTTAAAGCAAACCAATATTTTTCTAATTCGAAATTAAATTGCAAAAAATTAAATTCCTTTAAATAATAAATTTTATTTAAACTAAAGTTAAAATAAACACTCTCCAGCGCCGACCGTTCATAAAGCGTTATGATTCGCGCGTCGTTCGCCGTCCGTGGCAAGACTGAGTGAATGAAGTGCGACCCATGAGAAAACTGTAACTGAAAGTACAATACAATAACGACGCAACGCAATCGCCACACGAAACCGCACACCGAACGCCAACATTCACCGCTGCCCCTTGAAATAATCTCCTCGCTGCCTGCTCGCCGCCTACCGCCGACTGTCCCTCTGCGCCTTTTGCCTTTGGCTCTGTACTGAAATCAGTGTAATGGTTCGCCAACAATCGTTCACGAAGTTGTTGATGACTATTGCAAACACAAAAATGCCAGCAAACAACAATAAAAAATATGTGTGTATGTACTTGCCTTGCAATAACTACAAGCAACAGCGATAAAGTCGACGGCGACTCGGAGAATCTTAAGCAGCTTCATTGTTTCGTTTGACGTTGGAAATGTTATTATATTTCATAGCATACATTGTTGTTTTTTGACTTGACTAGGTTCGCTCGTCAGCGTGAGCACTGCTAACAGTTATGCGCTCGATCGGTAAACATAGCCCTCATAAGTTGGTTGGTGACGTGTAGGTGATTAAGACGGCCAGCGCAACGCGTTCGATATCATTAGCGCGTCGATTTGAGTGATTGACGAGCGCGGTTTGGTGTACTCACGATATGAAAAAGTAATATACATATGTATATATATATGTACATGTAAACAAACATATGTATATATGCAATTTGTTAGAACTAACTCTTGACGAAATTGGTATCATATAGGTCACATCACATCCCTCAATGAACCTGAGTTCCAAAGCCTGTGTGTTTAACCAAACCGACAAAGTCACTGATTTACAGCGAAGTCATGCACATACGGACAGATTTGTTAAAATCGTTTTGTCCGTTTGCTTTGTAGTTTTCGATGTCTCTGAAGTCGTAAACATTTTCATCTATCTAGGAACCAGCATTAAAACCAGCACCTCCATTGCACAATTCCTATTGCCAAGAGGTGTTATTTTGGACTTATTAAGAAATTGAAAAGTAAAGGCCTCTCTCCATGGAAATGACCAAATTTTAATAGTTCTTCGATATTCCGAGATAAGAATTTTGTGCCCGCTTTTTGGACATTTACGCATTGTTAAAGGCGAATACCGCATGCGCTGAAGAATGCTGCGAGATGTTCATTCACCGAGATGGACGTCTGAGTCTCTCTCGCACCAACAGTCGGACACCGAATTCAAGCTCTTTGATATGGTCGATGTAGCACCTGTCACAAGAACCTATCCATTTCTGATCTTTTTCAAGCCATGGTAATTCATGTACGGCCTTTATTCTTATGAGGTCATTAATCAGCTAAGCAACGGCACTGGATAAGGTCTGGATAACCCAGATGCAGACCCTTAAAGTATATCTCTCAATACTTTTGCAGTGTCCATTATTATAATGGGGATCTCTCATCGGTTACAGTGTTAATTTCTTCATTGGAGCCAGCTTCAATAACGGTTAACAATCTATTTGTAGAAAGCTGATAGCCGGCGCGTTAGCCGGGCAATTAGAAATATGTATTACCATTTGCATGGTCATGTGATCGGTCCGTAACCAGTGCAATATCCAAAATTATAGACAGGGAATGTCAATCCCTTCGCGTATATTTCGGACATGAAATAAAAAGCTCCTCACAAAAATCTATCTCTAAATATTGGATGCCATATACGCCATAGACAGGAAGAGATGGCAATTCCAACCAAATCATTCGCCATAGACTGGAACGGTTGATAATCACTTGGTGGGAGGTCTGGACTTCAGGTGGATGCACAAGAACCAGCCAAATTATCGAAACTTCTGGCAAGTCACTATCAGTGTATGTAATCTTGCCATGTTCCGATGAAACACAATTCCCCTCCTGTCGGACAAAGCTAAGCGATTGCTTCCTACGATGCACTGATGATCTTAATTTAATATGTGGCGATGAAGCTTCCCCAAGTACCTATGCTTGCCGATGGTATGGCGAATCACCCCAAGACGAGATTCTCCGAGGTCATCCAAAATCAGTCATAGTACGGGAAACTACTGATCTGTGTAAAAACTGATATTGCCAGTTTATCATGTGATGTATCCTAAGATTGAGACAACCAGCAACATTAGTGGGAACAGCATACATTCAAGATTGTATGAAATTTTAACTTTAAAAAATTTAATCCTACACATTTTGTCAATCTCTCAAAAACAGGCTCGCGTCGATTGGTCGAGAGAAATTCGAAAAATACGAAAGGAGGTGTTTCGAAACACGTCTATGAGCTAATGAATTGTAGATTATGAGACCGAAAGTAAACAGCAGTCGACTGTATAGGCATTTAAAGAGGAGCCAATTCCGAAGCACTTCAAGGTATTTTTTTTTTTTTTTGTGAAGAACTTGACAAGGCGAAACCTTACCATTTCTTTGCCAATTGTCTTTCCAAAAATCAGGAAAGCCAACCGTCAAAGATGGACCACTCTTCACCAAGACAACTGATTTTTGGAGCACTCAAAACATCGATCTCATGAGTCATACAACATATAGCAGTGTTTTGATACCAAATGGCTTCTTTTTATTCCCTTAGGTGAAAAATGAACTGTGAATTCATAACGCGCCTTTTTATCGAAAAATTGTGTTCAGCGAAGAAGCACACCTTTGGCTTAATGTAAGCGATTTTGGAGTGAAGATCAGGCAGAAGCAGTGCAAGAGCTACCAATGCATCCAGAAAAACTCACAGTTTGGTGCGGATTATGGGCTGGTAGTATCATTGGACTATCAAATACGATGCGAATCGTAACGTTACTGTGAGTAGTGAACGCTATCATGAAATGATATAAAACTTTTTTTTTTTTGCCCAAAATGCAAGAACTTGAATTTCCTATCGCTCTGAAAAAATCACCCTTTACAACTTAAAGTCTTAAGATGATATTAAATTCGGTGGGCGACTTAGTACTCGCCATACAATTTATCTACATGTTAATGATCGTGTGAGAATCGTTTTAAGATTTAATGTGACTGTTATAAATTTTTTACGCTTTTCTAACGGGTGAATTCTTAATTGTCACATCAATGAAAAGTATAAGCCTAAAATAATAACTTTATTTTATTTTTTTCGCGATTAAAAGAATTGCCTCTTTATTATTTAAAAAAAAATGCTACATATATGATTGTACTTAATTATTGAAAATTATAAACTTTTAGTTCATTAAAATTGTTATAATTATTTGATTAAATAAAAGATGATTTTTTGAACTCTTCTTTTACTTATAGCCGTCCGGCGATTTGGTAATAATTTCAAGTTGGCTCTAGCCGCCATTAGGAATTTTTTCACTCTGGTGTTCTAGCGGCGTTCTAAATGACGACTCTCACAAGAGTCACGTGTTGAAGGCATTCGGCAGAGAGAACTTTAGTGTGGCCTTAACTTTGACAACTCCTTGGCGTGCTAACTGTTAACTGATTTCATTTTTTATTATTTTAATGCTATAGAAGTGAACAGGAAAACTGTGTAGGGTCCTAACAACTGAACAATTAGCGCTACGATAGCGGCCGCATTAGCCGAGCGGTTAGTTCGATTCCTGACCAGACCAACGTCCAAAATATTTTATAAAGCTGTGGTCGCCTCTCAGAATGTCAACGCCGCCACGAGAAATTCCACCATGAAAAACAGGTCTCCTCATCCATCAGCCATTTATAGGAGGCTTAGAATAATTGACAGAGCAAAAAACTAAAAATCCTGTATACCATTGTATACCAACACGACGCAGCGATCTGTGACCGATCCAATCTATATTTTTATCCCAATAATAACTATTTTCATCGATCTGTGGATATATGATCACCTTCCACGAAAGAGAGTATGGTATATGTTAATCTATACAAAATCCTACCAACCCACTAAATTTGAAGCAAATCGTTCCTGCTCCCTCATTCATTTTCAGTTCATTTTCCAGAAGAAAACGTGGTCCTTATCATAATTTAGGCAAATTGCTACGTATGTATAAATAAGTTCGACGATTTCCCAGCCCGAATCATAAGATGTCGATTTCGTCCACGCTTCTGCACCATATAGTAGGACGGGCATGGTGAGCGACTTATAGAATTTGGTTTTGTTCGTCGAGAGAGAACCCAAAGTAGCAACTGTTGGTAAAATTAATTCTGAGTTAGTTTTAAGGCTGACGTAATTATTGGGGTTATTACTGATCCCTAGATAGAAAAAATCATCTACGACCTCGAAGTTATGACTGTCAACAGTGACGTTGAAGCTAAGAGGTAAATGAGTCGACTATTTGTTTGAAAAAATGAGAAAAATTGTATTATGCGTATTCACTACCAGACCCATTCGCGAGTCACACTGTCTAAAACCTAGTTCGATACCAAACGGCTCGGAAAAGTCCTTCCCAATACGGACTGCGCTTCTGGTGTTGTCCAGCGTCTGTACACATAGCCGAATAGGTTTTGCAGAAATACCAAATTTTGAAATAGCGGTGTAAATGCAATCGGAGTAGACTGTCGCATCCCTGTTTTATATATTGTACAGAGCACTCGCCTAGGTTTCAATCGTCGGGTATGTTCTCGTCCGACCATATTCAGCTAAGAAGCTGATGCGTGCAACCTATGAACTCTTTACCGCCATGTTTAAATAGCTCAGCCGGCAAGCCCTTGGTTCAACCCCCTCATCATAGTCGGGTAATGAAACGTCTTGATCAGTTTCCTGGAACTGGGTTTTCGGTTCGCCATGTGTACCCTCCATACAAAAAGTATGCTCTGGACAGCGCTCACCATTGGTTCCAAAATGACACTGCTCTGATCTTGAAACCTTCTGTTAATCGTTGAACCATAAATACGACATTTTTTAGTGGCTCGAGCGCTAATCCACTTCTCAGTTGTGTTGGTGATAATCTAAGCAAAATTGAAGATTTGAAGCAAATCGAAACACTAATAAGTTTTTATGGTATAGATCGGTCTTAGGTCCACTACCTGGAAGAAGAAGTGGTTTTTATTTAAATTGAGGCATTGAGATACCATTGAGATATCTAATTTCAAATAAATCGAATAAATTACATTTCGGAATTTTATTTGTCTAACAGGTGTCAGCTCTTCTGAAAATATCCAGTGGTCACCGGTACACTCTTCGGGTTTCAAAGAAGCTATTCCGAAAATTTGAATCAAAATCTTCTCAAAAATCTCGGAGTCTAGAGGCAGTATAAATACAAACTTACATATATTCTGTTTTGATAAAAAAAGCCTTTATGCGTACATATATATGTATGTATGTAGATAGGTATGTACGACTACATATAATAAGAAATGTGTGCCAGTTAAAATTTAAGACGCAGCAACCAACAAGAATGCGTACATTTCCATTTCTACACACAAATGTTCATATATATGTACATATATGTATGTATAAGCTCGCCTTAAATGTGGGCGCATGAGTCAGTGCCTTTCATGGCAGCAGCCAATTTGGTTTCAAAGCTTCAGTTCACGCATGCGCTAAAGAGTCTGTATGTATATTTTTTGTAGCTATTTTCTCTTTGCGGTTCGATTGTGGTTTTATTTTTTTGTTTTTCGTACTTTTGCGTTTAAAATATAAACAATTTTCTCACATTGCATAGCCAGCCAGCCAGCACCGCATCATCATCAGTTGACCCTCTGGGCAATCCTCTATCAAACTGGTTAGCCATCTAAACTGCAGTATTTCTGGTATTTCCCATTTCCATTTCTAAAGCTTCCTTCGTTTTTTCTACACATCCAAACAACAACAACAGTTTTGCATTCCTTCCGATTTTCAAAATATTCACTTAGTCATGTCTGAAACAGGTTTTCATTTTGTTTGCTTCGTTTTTTTTTTTTTGTTTATTGGTTGATATCATTAGTTCACCTAAATTGAAGACATGTCTCCTTCTTCTTCTTTAGCCAGCCGATAATTGATCTTCAGCCAGCACTTTGAGGCTAAATCGCATCACAACATAATTGAAGAGTTTCAGTGAGTTTCTATATGTGTATCTACGAAAATACATATATTGTACATATATGCACATACATACATATGTATTGAAAATGAGTACAACACGTTCCGCATTTAACAGCCTCTTATTAATGGGGATATCATGGTACAGGCCCATACATATATATGTACATATGTATATAGTTGTCGTGCTACGGTGCAGAAGACAATTTACATTCTTGAACGTGCGAATTCGTATCACTTTCTAAATGATGGATATGAGCGACGCTTGAGGAATAATAATAAGAAGAACTGTGAATTTAAAATTCTGTTGAGTGTTATTAAATTTATGTTTGTAATAGTTGTTATTATATTTCTTTATTTATTGTCACCGATTGGTCATTCAAATTCGTTTCCATTGGACCTTATCAGATGGGTTTAGACCTGGCCGATTCACCATGAGCAAAATCCACAAAAATCGACACTCACCACCAATTTTTCGATTTAAAAAATAGTTCTCGTTAGCACCAAGAGCTCCCAGCTGTCTCTATATGATTTTATCTGAATTTGGTATCTTTGCCAAAACTTATACAATGGATTGCGGAGAACCTTTGCAAGCTATTTATTATCAAATGAGTTTTTTGAAAGGATCACCGATCTACCCTTTGTTTTATCGCAAGGAGAGCCGTTTAAGATAAGGGATACGTCAACCATACAGAGCCGATTCATGGCTTAAAACTTGAAATTGAAGTACCCAATTCAGGCGTAGAGAGCCACTCAAACGAAGGTAAAGGTTAGCATCGGACAGTGATTTGTCTTCGCGTGACTTCTTCATATTAATGCTGAAGAGTAAAATCTTCAATAAGAGCGCACAATTGCTGGCTATACCTGATATAAGCAGAAACAAACTGTTATCTCTCCTTTCTGTACATAGGATAAGGAAGCCAGGCGAAAGAGTCTAGTAGTGAGTGAGGACAAGACGAAATATCCAATGCAGAATTATTCTTACCAACAGGTGCTACTTTGGACTGAGTAGGTGGCATGAAAAGTAAAGTAGACTCTCGATGAACAACTACCAATTTTGAAAAATCGCTCATCATATCAGTTTTATTTTATCGTCCTTAAGAGTTTTCGAGAAAACGATTTTTTATCGTGATTTGCGCCTTACGCAATCCTGAGAGCCGTAGACTTTAGAACGAATTAAGAGACAACGGCTACACTGCCCCGGTCATGTCTTCTGCGTGGACGAAAGTATTAATATCCTTTAGATATTCCAGAGGCAGTGGAAACCAGGATTCATCAAGCTATGGCTGAGATACCGTCCAATATGTTGAAGTTTGCAAAAATACGCGAGGCGGTCTCTTAAATGATGTAATGTTTCACATACACAGTTACAGAGCATACAGTTTTCTAAACTTCGAGCCCATTTATGTGCCTGCAACCGACCGAAACGGCAGAAATATGCCGAGTTCTGGAACACGATCTGCTGGCATGAGTATTACTATGGAACGTAAACTGAATTTCACACTTTACATTGGTATGACAGTTAACAACACCAGGGATATATTGGAATGTGTATAACGGCATTCAAGAGAATTCAAGGATTCTTATGTTACTAAAACTTCGTTCCCAAAATAAGTGATGACTCTTCTGGAACACGGCGTGATAAATTGGAGCCCATGGTATCAAATCTACTCTGATCGAATAAGAATCTATTTAAAATCGATTTCTCCTTTTTGTATTGAGAAACTTTCTTTGGGGCTCTCAATATAATCTTCTTTCTTATACTATCATTATGATTCCAATTAACCTCTCCACTTTTGCCAGTAGCGGGGAAATACTGAGTGTAATCATCATAGTTCAAAAAATAACAGGCGCAATTTCTAAACAAAGAACTTTGAAAAGGCTCAAAGGGGTTCGAGATTGATATAAACTCTCATTCTAGCTTTATTCTTTCATATTAAGAAAACATTTTTATCAACTCCAAGCTAATGAATATAGTATGATTTTTTCGACATTTTGTTTTTTTTTTGCGAAACGGTGCTCGTTTAATCAGAAAGTTATAATTTTCAGTATAAAAAACGACGTAAAATTTTTTATTAAAAAAAACTATTTGATTATAAAAAAATCCTACCCACGTCTCTGGAGAACGGAATTGCGAATGTACTGTCAGAATATCGAAAAAATAGGTAAAGAGTTATGTCTTCGGCCAGTTTAAAAAAAAATCGCGAAAAATCCGTTTAAAGTTGCAAGTGTCGCTCGGGCATATCTGCGAGGCATTGCCGTCGTATGAAAATTTTGGGCAGTTAGACATTTTTGGCGGCCCCTGTCTCTTGATGCGTTATATTTAAGACCCTCCTCAAGCAGCTACTAAGACACACAAATTATTGTCCTTTGTGCGGAAGACTCGAATGTGTCTAGTTCTCGACGTTCTCAAGAGTTGGTTGGGGCATTCTTATGGGATTCATATAACAACTCAAGCCATCGATTGGATGCTTGAACAACAAGTGTTGGACGGCGATTTTTCGAACACAGGTATCGCATTTGCGGCTCTGAGAAAAGAAAATCAATAAAAAAAAAACTTGCTGTCTGGTGCGCACTTTGCTCCGGAGATGTTATTGGACCTTAAGTCTTTGAAAACGACAACGGCGAGACTTTCAGAGCGTTATTGTCTTATGATAACCGACTAATTTCGCCTGCAATTGAATAACACGACTTGGAAAATATGATGTGATTTCAACAAGGTGTCACATGAAACACAACACAGACGAATATGGCTTTATTGAGAGACAAATTTCCCGGTCGCAAAGCCTCTCGTCTATGGTGTCAAAGGGCCATCGTGTTCGTGCGATTTGTCACCGTTTGACGTATTTTAGGCAAGTTATGGCTGAGATATCGCCCATTTCTAATAATTTTTACTAATTTTAATATATATGTAGGAGGCGTACACAGACTGACAACTCGAAGCGGACGGACCAAAAGACTACTACTAACAAAATACTAACTTGAGACTAGAATACAACCCTGCTATACTGGATATATTTACATAATACTAACTGGATGTAACAGACAGCAGATTAACAGTACAGTTGTTATATGAATTTCAATATGAGAATCAAGCGTAATTTATTATTCCTGCATACGAATATGTAAATGAGAACAAGTATTTTCCTTCAAAATGTTCTCCAAGTGGAAATCCCCAATAGCAAACTTTTATTTCAGTTTTTCGGTATAACAAAGTTCACAAATATGGCCACCCCATGTGGCATTCTAGCGTTGCTAAGGTAAACAAACGAATAACAAAACAAAGTGGCAAGAAATGTATGGCCAAAAAAAATTTGGTGAGGCAAACACCAACAACCAACAGTTGTGCATTAGAAGAAGTGAAAAATAATTGAAAACTAATTTTCACAACAACTTTTGCTGAAGCCTCAACAACATGCCTGTCAACTCCAAATGGCTGCAGGTAATTGTGGACGAAGACGAGCCACGACCGCGTCTGAATACCGTCACCAGCTGCATGACATTGTGCGACATTAAATGCGACAATTACGTGCGACTGATTGTGGCAGACATCTCGTTGGAGGATGAACCGACGGCGACCTTGAAAATATTTCGCGGCACCGCGTTGCATACTGAACTGAAGCTTAACGGTATACCAGCGGCAATACAAAGTTTCTACAGCGAAGAGTCAGAGCCAAAGACGCCAGGTAGGTTGAATGTTATTAAAAAATGTGACTTAATATCTAACTCGTTGTGTGTTCTACATGTACATATGTTCATGTGTTGTAGTTGTAGCAGTCGCCATAGCCGAATCGGTGCTGTTCTATCGAAATTTGAAACCGTACTTCAAGTACACAGTGCCTGGCATAGAGGCCGAAGAGGCGGAGGCAGATCTCTGGCGTAAATTGCCAACGGTGCGTGTGGAACAACAGCCAGCCTTGGTTGAAAGTTTGAAGACCATGGAGCGGCCCAAGTTGTCTAGAAAGTCGCAAAAGCTTATACAACTACCGCAAGAGGAGCAAAATGTTAGTTTTTCTTTTATATTTATGCCTTCAAATTGTTCGCTACTTTTCGCATATTTTTATTTTACAGGAGTTCATCTTGAAATACACGGATGCCACGGTAATGCGCCACGCCAATATTGTCGCTCTGAGTTGCCTACAACGCATCTCCAGCGATCCGAATCCACCCTCACATTTGGTGATTGCCACCGATAACGGTGATATACTGGTGTTGGAACCACAAAGTTTCGGTTTAATTTACCAAGCCAAGACTTGCGCCTATGAAACCGTGCCCTCTATGATTGCCGTACACGGCACGTATGAGACCGATTTCCGCATAGTGATTGCCACACGTTATGGTGGTGTCTATTTGCTACGAAAATCGGTAAAAGAGGGACAGGAGATATTTAAAATTTCCCATCCCTTCACCGGCTTAATGCTACTGCCAGTGGATCAAACCATTACAGTATGCGCCATGGATTGTAGACTCGTCTGCTATTCGAAGAAGGGTAAACAATTGTATGTGAATAAACTCTCCGCTGTGCCGATATGTATGATTCCGATAACGCTACCGCATTTGGGCCTTACACTTTGCTGTGTAGCCTTGGAGGGTGGCCTGGTACAACTCTACCTGCAGCGGTATTTGGTAAATGAATTCCATATGGTTTCGACAATAGGCGCTATGTGCTTCGGCCGTACCGGACACGAGGATTATGTGCTGACTATGGTTGGCGTGGGGGGTGAGGTTTTCGTTAAGATTTTGAAGAGAACCGCCGGTTTTGATCCAAGTGAACTAATGGCGCTCAAAGGCAATTCGGAGAACAAAGTAATGGTCGAAACGATTTTAGAGAAATCTAAAAAGAGTTCAATATTTGTGGAGCAAGCGGCTAGAGAAAAACAAAATGCTAAAGGTAAGTTTTTCTTTGCTCTCAAACTATGTGTCTTATAAAGAATAATAATGCCTGCCCATTGGGGTGGACGATAATATGCGGTGATGGAACCTACGATCCAAACCGGACTTCTTCATACATAGCGATGCACTTAGACTTCCAGTAAGGTAGCATCTCATTTTCTCAGACGAAAAACATGAGAAAGGACATGGTAAATTCTACAGAACCAATATAAAACATTATGAGAACAGTCACAGGCTGAAGTTTCATCATAGAAGCCGCACCGTTCAACCTATTTAGCGCGTGGGCCATAAATATTATTCAATTATTTCGCCAGAAATGGTTCGACATTCGAGTTAATGGCGGAATTTATTGATTTATTCATATGGGTGCCGTGTATGACCTTGTAGTGGCCGGTTCTATTCTCTCCGTCGTTCCAATATTTCGATTGTGTGGCTTCTACGACTGCAATGGTGACTTCAATTTTGAATTTCAATCGTCTCTGTAAGGTGGAGGTGGTACTTATACTTAAGGGTTCCCACAACGGATTTTCGAACATTTTAAGTGTGGGTTTTCTGTATCTCTTGTTGACGTAGCCGCCGAGATGGCAATTAGCTTAATCGGAAAATATGAGTTTTGGGAAATGTACTCATCTTTTGCCAAGCGAACCGAAATAACATAGGCTGGTTATGAGGTTTCAGTCCTTGAACCATTTTTAGTTCTTCTTCTTCTTTACTGGCCGCTTAAGCATTTATAGACGAGTTACCAAGTCAATTCTTCTTTTCGCTGGCCGCCAGATCCTTCTCTATCTGGTCCTCTTCTTCCAAAGCTGGAGTAGTTGTACTCAACCGCACCCCATGACCTCGCCAGCGTACAGCGGCACTTTCCATCGACTGCGGTATTCGCTGTTACCAACTCGTAAAGGATCATAAATCTTACTCAAAAATTTTGTCTCGAAAACTCCTAACGCCGATTCATCAGATGTTACCATCGTCCACGTCTTCGCACTATACAACAGGACGGGATCGTTGAGCGATTTGTAGAGTTTGGTCTTCGGTCGTCGAGAAAGGACTTTACTTTCAAACGCCTGCACAGCCCAAAGTAGTAGTCATAAGACTTTATACCGACTTCATCCAGCACAAAGGAGTGTCCGAAACTTGAAAGCACTGGACGTCACAGTCCACAGTCTTCTCTCGGTAAGGAATACCAGGCTTTCTGATAAGAAAAATAAAGCTCCTCATAATAATGCATCGGCCGTTCAGAGACGGCTAAAAGTGAATTTGTGGGAAATCAAATTGGAGGAGGAACTCGGCGGGTTACAAAGCGCAAAATTAAAAAAAAAAACACTTCTAAACAATATCCAATGTCTTTACTGCCTACATGCGATTGCACAAAAATTTAAAGTTTTGATTTTAATTTTTTCTCCATGCACAGCAACCTACGGCGCCTTCCAGGCTGAGCTATGGCGTTTGCGTTATGTAGCTGCTCGTGCTACTGTTGACGCCATCAATTCATCGGAGAGCACAATATCCGGCGATATAACACATGCACCGGTCAAACTGACAGCTGAGATATGTGGTGTTGGTCCAGAGTTTAGACTCTATCTCACCATACAGAATATGTCCAGCTACAAGATGGCGTCAAACTTAACAGTTCTTTTGCATGCTGATCGTCGTCATTACACCATAAATAAGTCGTTAGCAAAGGTGAGTGCGTGCTGTCGAATTTCGTTAATCGAAAAAAGTTTTATTTCTCTTATTTATTACAGTTACCCAGCATTTTGCCCGGTGTGCCGCTGAAAATCGACTTTGAAATTGTCGCAGTTTTGGATCCGAACGATAAACTGCCACCGCATACACTAACGATAGATAACTCGCAAATTCGCGTTATGCTGCTGAAAGCGCGCCAAACAAAACCGATGATCGCCGCTGTGATCGCCATGCCGCAATCGGAAGCGAATATTTGAACGATGTGCTGTGTATTGGTGTGAGCGCGTCACTGTCATGCCTAAAAGTATGTTTTGAATGTAAAAGAAACTAGTGTGTTTGTTTGCTTTATTTTAAAAATATATACATATATGCATATATAAACAATAATTTATGATAGGAAAACAATAACAATTTAATATAATTTTTATGTTTGTGTAGAAGGAATGGGACATCGCTTTAATGCATACTCGTAACTTTTCAATTTTAATATTTATGGTTTAAAATAGAGAAGATTTGTATGCACTTGTACGAGAGGATTTAGAAAAGTTCGATCAGTTGGTGACTTTCAATTTGTTTTTGTTAAATCTAAAAATATCAAATCTTTTGCAATTACTTTAGTAGTCTTCATTTCAAATTTTAGAACGATTAGCTAAAACGTAGACGGGAAAACGCAAGATAGCATTCGCATTTCGAGGTAATTTACAATAAGTACAAATATTCAGTGAATGTCAAAATCCAAATGAAACAATTGCACCGTCTTTAGAGTATATTTCTAAGTGGTTCCGAAGATTCCAGACCGGAAATTTTTCCGTATAGGACTAGCCCCGAGAAAGTCGTCCAAAATCTTCTACTGATGACGTCACTGTAGCTCTGGTGGAGTCCAAAATTGACGAAGACCCACGATTGACACAAGAAATGATTGTTAATGAATTGGGCCTGAATGAAATTGATGTATCACGAGCATTAAGTAATCATCTGGTATATACGAAGAAATCTGCTCGATGGGTTCGAGTGCTTTTTGCTGAATATTTCCTAAACAAATGCGAAAATGGTCAGTCTAGTAACTTCTGTATGGAGGCCAACCCACGCCTAAAATCTAAGCAACAAAAATCAACAGCAAAAGTATTGATACCAACTGGTATTAAACCTATTTCACCCGATCTGAAACCGTAGCTGCTCTTCCACTGCAAAATGGTACACCGAAGAGTGCTTACCTAAAGTTTTCAGAAAGTGCTATTTTGGACCGAAATCATTAAAATTCACTCTCAAAATGGTGAAATCCTGGCAGAGAGGATTCGTAACTAAAGACTTTGGTCTTAATTCTTATAAACTTCAATTAACACAAGAGCTCACGTCTGCCGATAATCAACAACGTAGCGTCTTTGCTAATTGGGTCCTTGAAAAACATGAAAATTGTCTGCGACTTCATCTAAAAATTATATTGGTCCACTTCCACCTCGATGGCTACGTCAATATGCAAAACTGACGCATCTGGGTCTCAGAAAACCCACGATTTATTGTTGAAAAGCCTCCAAATCCTCAACATGTAACTGTTTGGGGCGGTTTATGATCTGGCGGCTCATTGAACCTTACTTCATCGAAAATGAGATTGAATGGATTACGCTATCGAGAACGGTATTACGCGGCCGGAACAATACCATCGATTGGAACAATGATTACGTTCAAAAAGTCCGCGCCACGTGCCATTTAAGAAACGAATTCATCGATCTCTTAAGGGAAGAGTTTCCAGGTGTCTTCTCTCAAAGAGAGAAAAGTAGAAGAGGGCGATTATAGAATTATCTTCTTCTATAAATACCGAGAGATGAAGATGGAAGGAAGACACATCTGCAGGAAAAAAATACCGATATGCGTGAGCTTGACGAGCTGGCCAAACAGGGTGAAGCCCGAAAATTCTATGAAAAAAAACGCCGACTTACAGAAGGTTTCAAGACTGGAACAAACTCTTGTAGGATCTTACCAGCCACACTGGCCACACTAGACTTGTTACATCAACCATTAACCAGATTTTCACCATACGCCAAGTCTTGGAAAAAACCCGTGAAAAGAGGATCGATACAAACCGCAGGTTCGTCGGTTTTAACAGACTTTGATAACACTGTAAAGGAGCTACCTCTACGCCGCTATATCTGAATTTGGTATCCCCTCATCATGCCCGTCCTACTGTGACGCAGAAGCGTGAACAATGTCAACATCTGATGAGTCTTCTTTGGGAGTCTTTCCAAGAAAAGTTGTATGAACGATTTACGCATTGACGATGGCGAATACCGCAGACGGGGATATTGACATAGTTCAAATATATATTTAGGTACATTATCCGAGGCGGCCGCAGTAGCCGATGGGTTAGCATTACGTACTGTCAATCAGAAGGCTCGGATTGAAATCCTGGTGTCGTACTAACATCCAAAAAGTTATAGAAAATCAATTTAAATAAAAAATTAAGCTAAATTTTCTAATTGCGGTCGCCCCTCGGCAGGGAATGTCAGCCCCTCCGAGTGTATTTCTGACATGAAGATCAAAAAGCTCCTCATAAAAACCATCAGCCGTTCGAAGGCGGCTTAGTATAAACTGTAGGTACCTCCATTTGTTGGAAAAACATCAATACGCAAAATCACAAATTGGAAGAGAAGCGCGGCCGAAAATCTATTTTGTAGTTACAAAGCGACAATCATATATATATATTACCCGATTAAATCAAAGAAAACTTTTCCTTCAAGTTACTTTTACGAAAGATGACTTCATCAGCTCAGATGGCATAATACATCAGGTTTGAATATTCAAAATATAAAATCAATTTAACTGGATAAATTTTGGAAAAAATCGAATCAGATGTGGAATAACACTCAGTTCTATATTTAGTAAATTTTATTTACAACTCAGACAGGAGTTTCGATTCTACATCAGCTTGGTCTGCGGTTTCTTGTTCACATAAATTTGGAACGGCCCTTAGACCAAAGAAGCCGATGATTTATGAACCGATAGGAGTGTTGATAAGCAAAGCAAATCGACCAAAAAATGGCAATATAAATAAATAAAAAACTGAAATTGGTAACCAAAAAGGCGCACACCAGTGTATATGTATGTACGTATGTAAGTGCATATTTCCTTCTAAATTTTTGATAAGTACCTAATCAGATTCTAAAAAATTTTGCATTGATTAAACCATCATAAATTTTTATTGTATTTCGCTATCGAATAACTGCATTTATTTTACTTATTTTTCAATTTCCGTTCTTATTATAAATACGCATTACCTCACAATGCATTACCATTACTAATCCACATTTACTATAATCAAGTTTATATACCGTTAAAAATAAATATGGTCACTGTGAGTTTAGTGAAATTAATTTGTCAAAATGTTTTGCATTTATGCTTTTCACTCATTATATTTTATAGTTTGAAGAAATCGTAGAAAAAGCCCGCAACTTCTCCCAGAAGCCCACCCAGGAAGAGTTCTTGGAATTCTATGGCTACTACAAACAAGCCACAGTTGGTGACTGCAATACAGATGAGCCTGAGGATCCCATAAGGAAAGCACTGTGGAACTCTTGGAAGGAGAAGACCGGCATGTCGGCCGATGACGCCAAGGCACACTACGTTGAGGTGTACAAGAAATATGCACCAAAATATCAATAAATATTTAGTATTCGATTTGCTTTGTTGAATAAATAAATTTAAGTTACTTAATTTGCTAGTCCGTTGATTTAATTAATTTTGTAGTGCAAGCGAATATATCTACACCAAATTATATTTGAAAATACATACATACATATATGTATTGATAAATGATTTAATAAAGAAAGAATTCTTGTCTAATTTAATACTCTTCGTTTCAGTTCAGTTCTCACATCCAGAAGTGCCAATCCGTCCATGCCAGGACGCACAGCTGAGGTCGAGTTCGCCTGGAATATTTCACTTCTTCTTCATTTTCGTAGGCACCGCTTGCGTGATTATGACCGTTATTTGGCTTTAATTGTAGAGTGAAGTGCTTTCAACCATTCGGACGACATGACCTAGCCAGCGTAGCTGCTACTCTTTCCGCGCTGTAGCATATCGATGCCACTCAGCTCATTGTCTGCGGTATTCGCCGTTGCCAATGTGCAAAAGACCATCCTAGTTCGCGAAAATACTCCCAAGACCGACTCATCGGATGTCGTCATCTTCCACACTTCTGCACCATATAGCAGGACGGGAATGATGAGAGGCTTATAGAGCTAGGTTGTTACTTGTCGGAAAAGGACTTCGGTTTTCAATTGCCTACTAATTTCGCTGTAGCAAGAGAGATTCCATCTACGACTTGGAAGGTATTCCTATCTACAGTGACGTGGGAGCCAAGTAGCGAATGCGTTGGCTGTTTGTGTGATGATAGGAGATATTTCGTTTTGCAATCGTTCAGTCTGGTGGAGGTGGAACTAACAGCTCTCCAGCATCAAATTGACGAGTGCACATGATAAAGAGTTAACTTGTTTGAAACATTGGTGTCGAACTATTGAGAGTGTTCATTCCAATTTTGGCAGAACTTCAGCGTAAGTTTACACAGCCATATAAGTTTTGCGGGGATACCAAATTAAGACATAATGCCGAGAAAACGCAAGATAGCTGAGGATAGATCAGACAGGTTTCCACCATGTATTTCTCTTCTGGTTTAGGCGTAATTTACAGCAAATACAAATATTCAGTGGATCAAATTCCATATGAAGCAATTGCACCGTCTTTAAAGACTATTTCTAAGTGGCTCCGAAGATTCCTTACCGAACATTTTTCCGTAGAGGACGAGCCCAGAGAAGGTCGACCAAAATCTTCCACTGATGACGTCCAAAATTGACAAAGACCGACGATTGACACAAAAAATAAAAGCTAATGAATTCGCTGTGTCGCCAATATTAAAAAACCAACTGGGAGACACGATGAAATCAGCTCTATGGATCCCACATATTTAAAATTAGGCCCAAAATACGCTCGAGTGCATTTTGCAATTTTTTTTTTTATTATTAGAAGTGCATTGATTTCAATCGCGATTATGGCGATAATGAATACAAAAAGAATTTTTCGTTTTTGTTTTTCTGTTCTGCTTACCAAACTTTTGTAAATCCCCTCGTATATATTTACATACATATATGGGCATCAAATTTCTGTACGGTAGTAGATTATATGCAATGAAAGCTTAAACTAAGCATGACAAATTATAAATGTTAAATTATTTCATATGAGTGAATGTGATTTATGAAAAATAACTAACGAATTTGCACTTACCCGCGAGATTAGGCCGAGCTGATTGCTTTCCTATGAATTCTTATCGCTCCTTGATTATCTGGATTGCTTAGACCTGGAAAGTAAATTGGAAAAAATTTATAATACCAATCATAAAAATGCAATAGATAAATACATATGTATGTATATAAATCAAGGGGGTATTAAAGATTTGGTCATGATACCAACTGCGAGAAAAAAAAGAAAAAAATCAAAGTTTGTGAACTCGTAGCTCCGATAATGGCCGAAAACGGTGAAAATGCTTAAAAAGGGAAATTTTTATCTTTTTAAGTCAAAAATGATTTATTTTTTCGGTAATTTTGCTTAGCAAAATGCTTCGTCTATTCAATACCAAGAACTCTGCATCAGATACTAAAAGAATATTCCGCCAGGCTGACTAGATATGATCATATGATTTTGAATATTAAGAAATTGCTAAAAATCCACTTTGAGCTAAGAATATTAAACGAATGAAGGAGAAATTCAAGATTTGATATCTACTTTTAACTTATGATCATGAAAGTGTTCTCGGATTTGCTAACCCAAATAAAATTTCTAATTGTGTACTTCAATCCTCATTTCTTCATCGACGAATGCCGAAGATAACCCATAGAGGATAGTACCTATTGGTGAGAGAGAGAGAGGAGAAGCGTGAAGGAAAAGAGAAAGAATGAGAGTTAGGCTAAGAAAAAGAGAGGGAAAAAAGGAAAATAACTTCTCCTAAGTCCGGTTTGTAATGAATTTATAAGCGCTGGCAATAATAAAAATACTTGGTGATGTTATTGATTTCCCGAACTCGGACGAAAGTGCAAGTTCTAAATGCAGTCCGAAATTGTTAGAAAGTCGTCGCGAGCAGCAAACAAGTGAAGGGCATTATCGTCCATCCGGAAACGTGGTGCATATGTACAAGATATATATATATATATATATATATATATATATATATATATATATATATATATATATATATATATATATATATAACCTAAAAAATTTATTTCAGTAAAGAAGAGAAATTGAAATAAAAATGATACTTTAATGGAAATCAAATTTTGGAGAGTTGCCACATTTTTTTCTAAATCAAATTCAGAGAATTGAAACAGAACCTGTTTGAAATTTATATCCAATTGGAATACATTTTTTTCACTATATTTTCTCCTTCTGGTAGAAAAATACAGGACTAAGTGCCCAATTATCCCGATTTAGAAGAAAAATAATGTAGCCAGAGAAACTTTTCTCTCTATATGATGGCTCGTTCCATTCCAACGAACTTAAAAACAAATGTTACTGAAAACCGACTAATATTGGTTCAAAGGATGTACCCTAAGTAGCGACATTGTGACGTCATCTAACAGCCTCTAAAGAAAGATTTTACTAAAGAACATGGCTTGGGGATTTTTTTCAGACCTTGAACAGCTAATCGCTACATGGCGTACACTCAGTATAACGAAAACGAAATCTTCACCCCAGCCAGGATGGAGAAGTAGAAAAGCCCTTGCAAAGCGACAGTTTATGATAAGATATATGATGAATATATACGGAAGAGAGGAGAAAAAGCAAGGATATTTTATATATTAGAAAATTCTACCACCCTAATAAGCCGAACGTGAGAACTTTGGCATAAATGCGTCACATCGAAATTTTACTACACGGAGCATATACGAGTAAATCGCTAAACAAACCACGTTTCTTCAAAGAACGAGCGGGAAAGAGAATAAAAACACATGAAAAAAGCGAAGACCGACAGAGAGTATCTTACACAGAGTTTTTCAGTTATATACGGTAGGATGCTCAGGTTCATGCAAATGACGAATATGCAGAAAATCCAGAAATGATCCCATAGAATTACTATCAGAATACAATTTTACATCCAATTCCTTAAGCATGTGCACCTGCAAAGAGACGAACAAATCAAATCCATAGCTTCGCCTTTATTTCTTGCAATCGGGAAGTCATTTTCCAAATCGTGGGAAATAATCGCATGAGGATGCCAGGATTCTTGTCCCTATTGACAACAAGTTGGGATAATCTATTTTTACAGTCTTTAATCACTTTGTACGAGATCCGTAATATAGCTTACATGCATAATAACCTTCCAACCATGCTAACCAAGCTTTCAGAGCGTCTGGCGAGCCACCATCCATGTGTGTGGTCTCCTCTTATTGGCCAAAGCCGGACGCGTCTGGCCGATTGCTTCCTTCAGACGTTTCAATTGCTGAGAGTATGGGGTTCGAATTAAGAGCTCTTGTTGGAGCAGCTCAAAGTGGATGATTCTTTGCTAGTCCTACCAAACACACAAAAAAGCCTTCAATTCTGGCTTGGTGACCGTTTGTGCCGGCCCACTGCACTGCGAATGCGACCGTTTCATTTGGTGTTGCTGTTTGTGATCCACTTTTCATATTTAGTCCTCATCCTCTACAGAAATGGAAATTCGATCCATGAGGGTTTTTTCTCGTGAACCTATGTGGCATCCATACATATGCATCCAGCCATTTTTAAGTGGTTCCAAACTGTTTTTTGTGCAGTGTTTAGCTCCTGGGCAATCGAAATAGTGCTCGAATGGCGGTCAGACTCGAAGATTTCGATTATTTTTTTTTTTACTTTCTTGTTGACATCAAAATTACCACTATAGCCATATATATAAAGCCATCTATTGTAAGTTTTTTTATTTCATTAATATTACGTAATTTGTATTCAAACTTTATTTTCAACTATTCAAAAAAAAATTTCAAATATAAAAGACCATTGAGTGATTATAAGAATTATTTTAAATTATTTTTTCAAACTCAATATACATATATTTTTAGAAAATAATTATGAAATCCTCTTGCTTTTTTCGTTATTTTCTATTAGTTTATGCATTAGCAAACCTTAAAATAATAACTTTATAAGCTCAGATTCTAATAAATTTTGCGCCTATATGTATGCAATATGTAAGCTCACCTTTGGCTATGTATTTGGAGCATAATCACTGTAGTTTATGATCATACTTGTACGTGTACATAAGCGTATCAAACGCACTTAGCTTTTGCCCGTCACTGATTTATGGCGCTTATTTAAAATGCTCGGATTTTCCTAATCAAATATCAGTACCTATCAGGAATACTTGGTGTGAACGTTCAAGATTAAGCATTAGCACAAGGGGAATGCGCGCAAAACACCAATAAATACTGTACTTTCCAGCGTGAACTAGTCAATGGCAAAAATATTTTCGGACAATCATAAATTTCATATCATATATTTTCTTATAAATAAATTATTATTATTATTATTTTTTTTTTTTGCTTTGTATTAAAATGAATATCAAGCAGATTAGAAAGTTATCTTAGTTAATCAATTGATTGATGGCGGAAACTATCAAAAATAAAATGCTTGCGCTGTGGGTATAAAATACTTTCCAAAAATAATTGGAATTCAGTTGAATTCTCTACGCGTTCACCAAACTACCAAAAGCATTTACAAAATGGTGTCTGTAAGTGAAAAATAAAAAAAATAATAAAGTTATTTCCTTGCTTATAATTTACTTTTCAATCCACTTTATAGTTCGAAGAAGCCAGCGAACTAGCAAAGAACTTCAGCAAGAAGCCCACTGACGCTGAATTCTTGGAATTCTACGGTCTCTACAAACAGGCTACTGTTGGTGATGTGAACATTGAAAAGCCTGGCGCTTTGGACTTGAAGAGGAAAGCTATGTGGGATGCCTGGAACTCACAGAAGGGTCTGTCTCAAGATGCCGCCAAGGCTGCCTATGTTAAGGTTTATGAGAAATACGCTCCCATTTATGCTTAAATGTAAAAGTTATAAGCAAAAATGTGTTCTGCCCAAGATTATTTATTTAAATCCTTAAAGTTATTTTAATTCTATGATTAACTAATTTGTTTTAGTTTGTGAATAAATTGCAAGAAATTAATGTAAATATTGAAAATGAATTGTTGATTGATTGGTTGACGCAAAGTGCTGAAGTCTGTAGATAAGGTTCGGCACACCTTTGTTTCTTTCTTTAAGCGATTATAGCCATAGTCCAATTACAGGTCCTTCTCCAGCTGGTCTTTCCAACTGATTTCTTCTGCTTGCATCGGGGTCTACTACACCGAAAACTGGACAAAAAAAATTTAGTCTTGTCCTCGTTCACTATCAGACCCATTCGCTTCGCTTCATTATCCAGTCTGAAAAAAGCAGAACTCACAGCACGGTTGTTGAGGCCAATAACGCCATTATCGGCGTACGCAAGCAACTGTACACACTTATAGAAGATTGTCCTTCTCTATTCAGCTCTGCAGCTTGTATTATTTTCTCCAGCATCAAAGTGAAGAAGTCACATGATAAGGAGTCACCTTGTTTGAATCCTCCTTTGGTATCGAACGGCTCAGAGAGGTTCTTCTCGATCCTGACGGAGCTTTTGGTTTACATAGCCTTATTGTAAGCAATGTTGAGGAGGCTTATGAGACGGTAATTGGCACAGACTGGTCAATCGCGCGGCATGCTTCCAATCAACTATATTTTACAAAGGATCTGATTCATACAGCGCGGCATGATACCAGTTATTCGCCGCCGTATATGCCTACCTCGGCCAGCAATCCATCAATCCCGAAGCTTTGATAGTTCTCAAAGCAGCGAAAGCTATACGAACTTCTGCATTGTCGGGCAATGCAGTATCTGTTGCATCGTTATCGTTTGAAAGTTCGGTTTCGCCATCTCTTAGTATTCCATTTTCACAACCAGCCACCAAGCTGGCATAAACGCAGTATACTCTGGGCATCAATCACTAAATCACCTACCTGGGCCTTGCAAAAGCTTGCCTTCGCAGAGCGCTTTAAATGCCATCTTATAATTCCCTTATACCCAGTTACTGAAGAGAGCAGCAGCGCAAGTCGAATAGAAAATCGATCTTGTTTTTGTTAATGCAGCTTTTCGACTTCGAACCTTCCTTATTATTGTTTGCCGACGGGCCTCGTTTGCTCCACAGAGAAGGGTGCGTATCTTGGCCGCGACAAGTTAGTTAATATTTGTATCTCGGATCCTATGCATATCAACGAACGTCTATCACATCATCGTCGATTCGGTTGAGACTTCTTCGATCCCATGGTAACCGAATTTTGTGTGACTGTGGAATCGAAGATATCTTCTTTGCTCTCAGCGAAGCAATCTTTGAATACAAATCCTTTTCCCTTGGCTGAGGTAAGGAAGTAGGTCAATGATATGTTTAAAAATCTCACTTTAATGTAGATTATGATGATGAGATGTTCGCTCATAAACTTACGCTCCTTTATATGACCGGCGTAGTAAATGTAGCCCCTCGTTTGCATCCCTCCATCGTTCATCACATTCCTTGGACTTCGGTGATGACAGCTTAACTTTCTTTGAGTACATCAACCAGCTGGACACCGATCACTCACCAATTAAAGCGCCGGTCATTCTAGGTACATGCTCTGAAATCAGAATCCTTTGTACGTTTAACCGTGGTGATCAACAAAGGCAGAATGCTGCTTTCTGGAAATATAGCGGTATGGTAGGATAGATATATACAAAAATTATACAACTTTTGTTTGCCTCTTTGAGCATTTTTAAATTTCCTGCTATTAATCTGCGGCATAAATGTCATATTTATGCAAGCTTGGTGAGCTTTTTTTTAACGATCGACCCAACATGAACTAAGCTTTCTAATTTCTCAAAAAAACTTACGCCATCGACTACTGACTAATTTTTTAACCTTACGAACTTTACGCTATCACCTTAACACTCATACACAAAAGCAACAAACTCAGCTAAGTGCATTGGATTATTAAATTAAATTAAAATAGTGAATTTATATACACACATATAAAGTATATCTGGATATCACTATCATTACAAAGTGCAATTTAAAAATATATATACACGCATATATACATAGATATCTATAATTATAATTTTGAACGTGCCGGCATGATACTGTAATCCGCAACAAATTCGCCAATCAATGTGAGCAAAAGCTCGCTTCAAGTGAGCAAAGTACTCAACAGCACAACAACTGTGATGCCGCTGCCGCGTTGCAATTGAGTAAGCTGCCAGCTAGCAGTACGAAGCTTTCAAGTGCGCTAGCGAGCAGGGAGCAACGAAGCTCTTTCCGTCCAGGCGGTGATCAACGAAACAAAATATGTTAAATTCAACGTTTACTTCCGAGTTGAATTCAGACTGCAATTCGCTGTGCGCGTGGAACGTCGTTGATCGTGTAAGTTTTTTGGAGACTCACATATTCGTTTATACATACATACGCACATATGTACATATATTAATTTGTTGCAAATTGAAACACTGTTGAAGAGCTGGCGTGTTTATAAGTGCATGTTTAAGTGTGTTTGTTTTTGAACTCTGCACAATAAAAAAGATTATTTTCCTGTGTTAATATATGTAAATTACTGTAAAGGTGTTTAATACAGCGGCAAAGTGTTTTTATTACTATAATTTAAAATTAATTAAATCTACAAATAAAATCAATTGCAGTGCATATAGCAGGAGAATGTCAGCGTAGATTTAGTAAGAATTTCAAATGAGAAATGCAACAAGTACAACGGTTAAAAAATCGCCTCATACGCTTCATATCACTTTATGTGTTTTTTCTTCTTTTTTTTATTTTCTATTTTTTTTTTTTTTTTTTNTTTTTTTTTTTTTTTTTTTTTTTTTTTTTTTTTTTGCTTAAATGTTACTTTTGTATTTTTATTTTTACAAACGTTCAAAGGTACACAAACCTTCGAACCCAAATTTTCATACTTAAATGTGTTTTATGGAATGTTTGTCCGTTTTGGTTTTGTTTTTTTTTCGTTTTTGTTTTGTAAACAATTACACGTCCGCACATAAATATAAAATAATGTGCTTACTTTTAATACGTGTTTGCAACTTCTTACTTTTTCCTGTTTTGAACTGAACTTAGTACTATTTGTTCGTTCGTTCGTTCGTTTCTGGTTTCATTTGTTATTAATTTATGTGCATAAAAAATCGCTTACAATTGAAATGAATAAAAAATAAAAATATATTTGAAATATAAAAAATTGTGTCTTAATTGCACTCTCAGTCACACAGTCAAATAAATTTAAACTATTTATCTGTATATACATATTTATAAAAGGCTTTGCCCAGAATGACCGATCGTAGAGATCTGAAACTTAGAGAGTGTTTTTTGTTGCGTTTTGTAGAACTGCGACCGATATTTTCGAAACAAACGAAATTATTTTGAATTTAATTTTTTAATTTTTAATTTTTTCATTAAATTTGGAGCACAAGTTGCTCTTTGCCCGAATTGATATGGGAAATAATTTGTCTTCCGGCAAGTGGAATTGGGGCGAATAGATTCGAATATTTAATTTAACGTTTGATTTTTATGAAATTTCGTATAGAGGTAATTCGCGTATAAATCGATATGACGATTACACCTTCTTGGTAAGTGTACCTGATGTCGTTCTATTCGATAAATCATGTTTACGGTTCGATTTATATAGAACAGGGGTAGCTTTGTGCTTAAGTTAAAGTCGGAAACACTTTGTTATTATAGATGATCTGATTTTGATGATATATGGATAGCGCTTTGTCTATGACAGTGCATAGAGTAACTTGTATTGGGACCAATCGACAAATGTTCGACAAATAATACCATATGTAAGACTTTTAAATCCTTTTCATACGTTTTAATACCAGTTGTACAACTTTACTTCCGCCGTTTTTTCCAAAATTAAAAACTTTATTGCGAAAAAGTGCTTACAGATATATTATTCAAAGTATTGTCCTTCGCTAGCGACAACTTTCTCCCATCTTTCCGGCCATTTTCGGATCCCGGCTCGAAAAAGGAGACCTCTTTTGACGCTATCCATGAAGCAATCCATTTTTCCAATTCTTCGAAGGATTGAAAATGTTGATCTACCAGGCCATGTGCCATCGAACGGAGTAGGTAGAAGTCAGAAGGGGCGACATCTGGGTAGTACGGCGGGTGAGGCAAGACTTCTCATTTCAGCGTTTCCAGGTACTTTTTGACCACTTTTGCGACGTGATGCGACGTGGGGCCGAGCATTGTCGTGTTGGAGGATGACTTTGTCATGACGCTCTTGATATTGTGGCCACTTTTCTTTTAGCGCGCGACTAAGGCGCATCAGTTGCGTTCGGTAGCGATCTCCTGTGATGGTTTCACCCGGTTTTAAGAGCTCGTAGTAAGTCTTTGAAGGTTTTTTCTCTTCCACCGCTATGTTTGTCTTCGACATCGAAATCACCATTTTTAAAACGTCGAAACCACTCCCGACACGTTCTTTCACTCAGAGCAGCATCACCGTAAGTTTCTGAGAGCAATCGATGCGCTTCAGCTGCATTTTTTTTTCGAATTGTAACAGAAAAGTAAAACTTCCCGCAAATGGCGAGAATTAGGCACATAAACGGACATTTTCGAGCGTGAATAATACGAAAACAAGAACAACTGTCACTGACACGTCGATTACAATTGCCTAAATATTTGAATTCGAATTTATAATTCATTGAAAGCAAGTATTTAGATGACTTTTATGTGAACTTTTTGTAACTTTGATTTTTGGTCGAGCTTCTCTTCCACTTTGTTTGGTGTGTACGTTTTTCCAAAACAAGATTGGAACTAACGGTTATTCAAAACCATTATGTAATGCATATTTATAAGGTGTAATTTTCATTTCGGAAATAGTTTATTTACATTCATTCTCTGTCGATTGCAATTATGAAAAAATATAATATTAAACTAGCGGACCCGGCCACACATAAAACTGTAGTTGTAGTTAATTTTCTTCCCAATACAATGAATTTCTTTTCATCCTTTTCTTCTACATCTCTCTGACCTGTTCTCAGCTAGATACAATACAGCCGTGCTCTAGGTGCCCGGTCATAAGGGCATCTCAGACAACAGCGTTTATGGCGTTTGAGCTAACGAGAAGAGATACTCAACTAACTACAATAAATTCTACGCACGTCGCGGACATAACCTTATCTACTGCACAAGGTCATACCTTTTTTCATTGCTTGTGTGGTGTAGCAGCAGTTGTTGTAGGTAGTATCGCATCATGCATAAGCAGGCCCTACGAGAGGGGGCAAGGGAGCCCGGTGTTTTCATTGTCGTATATAGAATAATTTGCTTCTAGAATATCTATGACGTAACGAACTACAGATTTTCATGGATTGCGATACTAATTCTACGCGTCTGAAAAAAATCAGTAATTTTGTTACTTCATATATAATAACAGTCATTGCAGTAAGATTTAGTTTTGTATGAATAAAGAACTATCATCGTTCTTGTTCAAGCCAATCTCGAGTCTCAGGACTGGCAACGTTATGTTTGGAATCTCAATTAGCTAGAAAACTTGATTTCGGTATTATCATTGAGGAATTTGCATCAGCTAAAGCAAGAAGGGCATATTTTTGAAGGTTGCTACCTTTTAAAATACTATTGTGATGCAAACTAAGGTAATGAAATTGTTTAAACAAAACTTATTCCACATTACTCATTCATTTTCATTTTTATTCAAGTTCCCCAACTCGTTGATTTGCAGTGTAAGTACAAATAAACATATTTGTTAGATCACGAAAATAAAATTTTGGGGGCCCGTATTTGAATTATCCCCGGGCCCTGATTTTCTCTCGGCGGCCCTGTGCATAAGGCACGAAATGGTGCGTAAATCAGAGAAGTTGAGAAGTACTCCACAGCGGTATCACAGTGGGTTTTCATACCTAAGTGCGCTGGTTGTTGTATTCAGCAATCGCCACAACTCAACTCAACTCTTCCCTGGGCTGTTAGCAAGTTTTTTTATATAACAACATATATAAAAATGAATATCCTTCGACTATAAATGTTACCATAAAATAAAGCTGAATTTTTTATAGGCAAAAGATTACGATTTTTCAACATTTTTTATTATTAAATATCCAAACTCCACCTACCATAAAGATTCGCCGATGATAGCACGTTTTTTTCCGCTTCCAACCGGTTCCTCAACTTTGCGAGTGTGCGACTTAACCGTAATTACATATTGCGCTTACCTGTAAACCGGTACTTTATCCAGAAAAATGAGTAAAGTTGAAATTATCTCAATTCACTCAGATGGCACGTGCAAACCGCGGTAAACAATGAATGTGACAACAAAGCGAGTGAAATAAAACTTAATAATTTATAAACGAAATTAAAGTAGTGAATAAAAAAGTAGTAAAAAAAAAATATTGTCCACCTTGAAGGTGTAATAAAATCCATAACAAATACGAAATTTCAATTAACTATTAACATAGCGAGACTTAAATACAGCAGCAATTTCACTTATGTTACCTACATACATATATACGCACATTGGGTATCTGCATGCGGCACAGTGTTTAAAGTAATATGAAGCTCACGTTCAAAAGTCTATACCCGCCTCCGAACGGCTGGTGGATTTTTTCTAAGAAGCCTTTATTTCATGTCAGCAATACACACAGAGGCCTTGACACTCACTGCCGAGGGGCGACGCCAATGAGAAAAGTTATTTTTAGATGTTGGTCGAAGGAGGATTGATCGTTAGACTGGTATACTGATAATAACACTCTGCACTTTTTGTCACCAGTTGGTGTTGATATTCTTCTACTTTGGGCAACACTAATCCGTTTGTGTCCAAGTGACACATGTTTAAAAGCAGACATTTGAAATAGATACTTTTATTGAAGGCAGCTCTGTAAATCGTCATTTGTATGACGAGATATTTTAAATTAGAAACGAGTGAAATCTCCGAAGAATTGCGTAATGTGATGCTTCTTTACTGTAAAAAAGGTGGAAGCATTACAACAACGTGCGGAAAATTTTTGTGGTTTACGCGGAGAATGCTGTAAGTGAAGGCGGGACCCAGCAATGGTTTACTAGAAGCCGTTCCGGAAATTTTATTGTCAATGATGCATAACATTCTTGTCGACCAATCACTCAAAAAACAATGGAATTCTGAAATTGATGGAGCAAGATCGGCATGCCAGCTGTCACAAGATGGTGAAAGCTTTTGGCATCACTCATGTAGCAGTTTGTTAAAATTGATAAGAAGCTGATTACTTAAGCAAGCTCGATATTTGGATGTCTTATGAATTAACGCACAACAAAATACACTGACCGAATTACCAAGCCTGAAGTGAAAAGCTCCTGGAAAGCAAAAAAAAACGAGAGATTTCTGAAGCGACTCATGACGGGCAATGGAGAATTGGTTATGCGCGAGAATCTAAAAGGAAAAATATATAATCAATACGCGGTGGTTTCCACAAATGATTTCAAATACTGTATTTACGGCAAACAAGGTGAAGCTTGAGTGTATCGTGGGAAAGGTAGACAGATAGATGAGTAGGGGGATGAGTACCGCCACCAGCAATCTGTTGTTCCCACCGATTTTCGCACATTATATCAAACAATCTTAACGCCCTTATGAAACCCTTATAGAACATAGCATGCTAGAAGGATTGATTGACTCAATGTGATTTTGCTCCAGCTCAATGACACCGAGATGTCTCAGTCTTCTTCTAGCGACAGCTTCACATTCAAACAGGAAGTGCAGTTGTGCCTCACCACTAGTACTTCACAAAAGCGACAAATCTCAATAACGCCATTTCCGAGTCTAAGCATATACTTAAGCAGTCAGCAATGTTCTGTAAGAAAACCTCTTAGTGTTCTTAAGTTACTCTTATTAAGCAATATTATGTCTCTAAATCTTCTGATATTCTAGCCGTTCATAGACTCTTTTGTTTGTCTCATCCTGTTACTAGTGTACCAGTAGAGCTGTCCCTTATTGAAGTCGCTTCGCTCGCAAGTATAAATGCTTCTTCATACCCTTAAATGCCGGTACGTTCCGGAACCCAGCTGAGTCGAACTTTCTTACACGTACCTGTTTCATTAAAATATTTAGGATGCGCAGAGCTTGTAATGGAATCTGGTGTAACGAACAACCCTTAACGATTCACCAACTCACAACAAGCTGTTCCAAAAAAAGGCGCTGAGTTTCCTCATCACAACGCCAGGTCAGACCAATTTTTTTTGATGATCAGTCAAAACTTGACGGCGCTTGGTTGGGTAACTTTGATGCAGCCATCATATAGCTCGGACCTTACAACAACTGACTACAATTTATTTCAGCCTCTGCAACACTCACTTAATGGTAAAAAATTGGCCTACCGAAGAGCTGCTGAAAAACACCTGGCGAAAATCATTGCAGATAAACCACAGACTTTTTACATGCTGGAATTTCTCAGCTACCCGTTAATGGTCATAGATTTTGATCAATTACGTATTGAATGATCAGTATTGAAAAATGTCTAGATTTTTCTCAATTTTTAATTTTTATAATTTTTTTTCTCCTCGTTTGAGTTTTGTTGAAACCACTTCTTTGCGCACCAACCAACATCACTGTCAAATCAGCAATCGGTTTCGTCTCAACATTGTGTGCACTTGAACCTCGCATACAAGTAATCAAATTAAATTACAACTCAGAGAAAGTTTTATATAAAAGTACAAAGCGTGAAGATACAAAGGCATATACAAATAAAATGTGCTTATTTGCTTATGCTTACAGATGGTATTTATGTTTTATGCAACTACCGTTGAACGCAAAATATTAGTCTTTGTAGTATTCAAATGTTGGAGAAATAAAAAGAATTGATTCAAAAATGATTGTGGCAACCAAACAATTAGTGAAATTGAAACATGAAGAGATGAAGTGGAAAGAAAAATAGTAACATTGAAATAAAAAGGGAAATTAATTTTTGATAATATTATAATTAAAAGCAAACTCAAGACCCCACTTTTGAAATGTATTTCAATTCAATTATTTTTTTCCTTATAAAATAATAGCTGCTCTTTTTTTCATGATCAAATGAAATTCTGTGACACAAAATTTTTGTAAACTCCAAATCTGTTCAGATTTTCTAGGTTGCAGCGCGACTAAATAAAATTATTTGCTTTTATTTTGAAACAACAATATTATATGCGAAAGAGGCTAAAAACCCGTAAAAGGAAAAACAGATTCCGCCAAACCCAAAAATAGCGCATTGTGCAGCATTTATCTCTAACTAAAGGGTGACTTTGTAAGAGCTATAGGAAAGTTTTTCAAAAAATAAAATAAAAATTAAAATGTCCATATAATTTAATGTCTGAAGATTATTTCATACAAATGTTGATCTTGATTCGCCTTAAAAGGTCCATCCACTTAGTTCAATTTTGGCATACTCTTTTCAACATTTCAGCCGGTATCTCACGAATAAATGCTTCAAAGTTGTCCTCCAATGCGTCAATTGAAGCGGGCTTGTCTGTATAGACATTAGATTTAATATAGATCCACAAAAAATGGTCTGAAGGCATTAAATCGCACGATATAGGCCGCCAACTGACCGGTCCGGAACGTGAAATAAAATGTTCACCGAACTCCCCTCTCAATAAGTCCTTTGTTACGCGTACTGTGCGGCATGTGGCACCGTCTTGTTGAAACCACATGTCATGCAAGTCAAGTTCTTGCATTTTGTGCAAAAAAAAAGTTTGATATTATCTCACAGTAGCGCGCACCATTCACAGTTACATTACGATTCGCATCATCTGTGAAGAAGTACGATCCAATGATGCCACCAGCCCATAAACCGCACCAAACTGTCACTTTTTCTGAATGCACTGAGAGCTCCTGCAATGCTTCTGGCTGATCTTCACTCCAAAATCGAGAATTCTGCCCACCCACTGAGCCAAAAAGGAGCCTCGAAGCGTGAGGAAGAATCGCGCGTTGAACTTTCTTAACAGATCACGCATTTTGATAATAAAATTCAATAACTTGCAAGCGTTGTCGGTTTGTAAGGCGATTCATGGTTAAAACGTAGACCGAACTGAAGATGTTTGACAGTGATACAAAACACGAAACGTGCGTCAGCTGTTCAAACCAGTGTTGCCAAAAAGATAATAGCTAAAAAATCACCATTTAATAGACTTGGCTACCACATTGTTGCTGCTTTCTGTATTTTGTCAAAATTTTATTCTAAAAGGGGGTTACGAAGAACCATGAAATGATCGTAAAAAAAGTATTATTTACATTTCGAGCACATCCAAAACTTTTGCTAAGCCGAACCATGAACATCTTGATTTTTCATTCAGAAAAAAATACCAGTTTGGTACGGTTTGTGAGCCGGTGGTGTCAACGGTTCATATTTCTTCGAAAGTGATGCCATTATAGTCGCTTATTTGATGCCTGAAATTGAAGCTCGTGTTATCGGCGACGTTTTGTTTCAACAAAACGACGACACTTCCCACACCTTGCATCAATCAATGGGTTTATTGAAACAACACTTCGGTGAGCAGATAATTTCACGTTCTTGGCCGATCTATTGGACGCCAAGATTGTATGATATCGCACCGTTAGACTTGTTTATGTCGGAATATATTGTGTGAAGTCTATGCGGACATATCGCTTCGATTCAGGCTCTGGAGCAAAACATCACGCGTGTCATTCGCCAGTTACCAGTCGAAATGCTCAAACAAGTCATCGAAAATTGGACTCAACGGATATACCGTCTGAGATGTAGCCGCATCTAACATTTGAAGAGATGATCTTCCAAAAATAAAAGCCAATGAATGTTCTTTAAACCTTCCCCATTAAGATTGAATTTTCTGTGCTTTCGTTTTTTTCTTCAAAAAAGTTGAGTACCTAAAAATGGATCACTCTTTACAACATTATATAATATAAACATATGTAAACACATATTTTTTGACCTTGATGTTGAAGAGAAAAAATAAATCGAGCTGCAGAAAAAACAGGCTTGATAGGTGAGTTCAATGTAATCACGGACAAGGCTGTAATCAGGAAATAAACATGCCCTTGAATGTATGTGTGTATGTGTGATCATAAACAAAAGTTATAAAACGCAGCGAGAATATTTCCAACCCATTCACATTTATTATTATTGCTGTATCATTGAGTTAATGCACTTAATTTGTATCCTTTTCACTTTTAATGAAGCTAATTGATTTTTTTCTTTCTTTTTTAGTGAGATAACTATAACAACTACAATAACAAAATGTCGCTTGATGAGGTAGTTATACAAACAATAATATATTTTAGGCTTCAATTTGTTTTTTTTTTTTTTTTTTTGATTTGATAACTTTTTATTTTGTCTTTTTCCTTTCCTTATATGCCTCCATTGCAGAGATTCAATGCCGCCGCTGAAAAGATAAAAACCTTCACTAAACGCCCCACCGATGAGGAGCTGCTGACCTTGTATGCGCTTTTCAAGCAGGCATCTTTTGGCGATAACACCACACCCAAACCCGGCATGCTTGACTTGAAGGCCAAGGCTAAGTGGGACTTTTGGAACAAGCAGAAGGGTAAATCTCAAGATGCGGCTAAGCAGGAGTATATAGAATATGTGGAGAAATTGTCGGCATCGTATTTATAAAAAAAAAAAAAAAACATAAAAAAAAACAAATAATAATAATTTTTATATTAATTTTTTTCCTTAAGAGTAAATCCAAATCGAATATAAAATTTTTTAATTATTTTTTTTTTAATATAATATAAAAGATTTAATAAATTTATAGAAATTATAAAAAAATAGTTTTCTTCAAATTAAGTACTTTTAGGTTAGGTTAGGTTAGGTTAGGTTAGGTTGTGGTGGCTACCGATCTATTGCACCGATTACTATTAGGCCTGACTAATACCCATTGTGATGCCACAAAAATTTGACCATCAAGAGTTATTAACAAGCCGTTTCGATTCTCAAACGAACCTAATTAGATCCATGACTATCTTCGATAGACTGCTGGGAGGGTTAAACTAGCTCAGCTCAAAGCAGGACAACACCGTATAAATGGCTAATCGTTTGCTCCTTCTCATCATCCGTGAAGCTTGAGCAGCATCTTCAATAAGTAGCCTCCAGCCTTTGCGCGTGTCGTCCTAACAGAAACAGGCCTGTCAGAACTTCTATTGGTATAGACATGTCCCCTCTTTTTAAAGGGTACATATTTCGTGATCTCTTCTTATCTCATTTCGACCATGTATGCCTGGATTTGTCGCAGATTGTAGTTTTAATCCACCTAGCCGCGACTTGTTCATATGTAAATACTTTGAGAAGCAGTTTACGAGTGACAAAAAGCATAACAATGCGTTTTTTATCGAGAAGAATCTGCTTGGTCGTATCTTGCCTAGCATGTTCAGCCGCCTTACCGTTTCTCTCGATGTCCCTTTGACCAGTGTTCCACGTACGAGACATTTTGTTCTGTTTGGCCATCTCCTGTTGAGATCGTCGACAGTCCAGTTTGAAATTAGGCGTAAGCGAGCTCAGTGCTGACTATCGCTGAAAATGAAGATATCCTTACATAAAATTTAAAACTGGCTTCGATTTGCTTTGCCACCATAATAGCAGATATACTCGTAAGGTGGAAAAAATTAGTTTGAAACAAAAGACTTAAGCAACGAACTGGATTTGCCCCCTAATACAATTTTAATTTTTGTAAATTGGAGAGAAATTCCAATAGTTCTTGTAAGATATAAAATGAACTAAACTAAAATTATTTCGATGAACTGAATGATGAATCCATTGTATCTGCTGATACTAAGTAAATAAATTGTTTTAGTTTCTTACACTCATGGAAACCCAGTTCCATAAGGCTTTAGCTCGGAGCAACATGGAAGATCTTACGTCTAAATCGTTGCAGACCGAGCACTCACGAAGATAAAGCTCTAGCGTTTCGCCCTTCTCTGTGCACTCTGCCGATTCTGCATTACCAAGGTTTTGTAGATAATTTCTTAAGTTGTGAGGGGCATCATCAACAAACGCTAATTTCTCTTTTGCTTAGTGCTAGCAAGATGCAGCTCTGTCAGCGAACTAAAGTAGTGACGTTCGAATTGTTTCGCTAGGCTCCACTCCTTTAAGCAACTTTTGCACGCGCTGAAAGGTCGGAGGCAGTCAGTATTTGGTGAAAGCGGCACCAGCACGAGCCAACTCATTCACCTTTCATTACCTTCTAATTACGTGTGACCGAGCACCCAAGTGATATTAATTGTCTTCATCAGTTATATTCTGTTTATTACCACTTTATATGTTCTTATAAACTTAGCCCGTTTTGCACTTTCAGTGACGCCCACAATCTCTGTTTGAAAGACATTTAGTCATCATTTAGTTTGTAGCTACCTTAGTTAATGATGTTAGCACAAACGAGCCCTGCTTCAATGCCTGCCTCGTATCTGAACCCTTCAGTATAGATGTGGATATTATCATTGCTTCCTACAGAGAGGAGTAGGTTTCTCTGTCGCACAGTACGTTTAGACTAAGCTCAAAGGGCCAACTATCTGAGATATTTAGTCTGCTAGCTGTAAGTGCTGCTTCGCAAGTCGCTTAGGCGTTAATTGTGCTGATGTCAATGATAACTTAGACTTCATTCAGCTAAGCTATTCGCCTATCGGTCATGGTCCCAAGGCCCTTGTGCCTACAAGAAAAAACCTCATAGACTGCGAATCGGGTGTCTGCTGATGAAAAGTGAATCACTTACAGTAACGTCAAACGAAAACGATCATGGTTTAAGGGTAGTGAGTGAGAGATTGTCAAGGAATCAGCGACTATGGCTTGCCCTTTATGAGGATACTCTTAATTCATACCTGAAATGTCAGTCATTGAATCGTCTGAGGGAAGAAATCCCCTACAAGCGCCCAGTTTCGGCCAACAGAAGAGGCATCCAAGTTATAGACTGGACATCGCGCCAAGTTACTACCATCTGTTGCTAACTATGGCGAATGATTTGGTTGGTGAAGAATTGGCCTCAATAGAAGTATCCTAGAATCGTTTTTGCCAATAGAGACGAGGATTTTTATGTGAGAGACAAAATGACATTGCAAAAAATTATCGGCTTAATCGGAAAATCTTTTTAAAGTTATATTTACTCTACCAGGGACGTACACCCTACAGTTGGAAATTAAAATTTCTTACTCATCAACTTAGTCAAAAGGAAATTCAATTATTTAACATTTCCCAATTGCTTCGTGTTGATTTCTCTATACATACCAAATGTCATATACTTCACGGTTCTAACCGTGTGAAAACTGTATATTTTTTAACAAAACTAACCGATTAAATGTTTTTTTTTGTACCAATGAGGAGCAGAAGGAATACTTAAGCCGGCCACTAACAGATCGGACCATTATAACAGATACACATACATATATAGAGACTTTCTAACACATATGTAAAAACCTTTGCCAACAATATACATATTGAAATTTTTAATTTAACAAATTTTCCTCTGAAGAGGTGAATTCAAATTGAAATATCTCAATGCAGTGTCGCACTCTGTGGATAGTTTTGGTACCATTCGCTTTGTTACAGGCCATACCTTATGGAGCGTTGATGTGCGATGACTAAAAAAAACTGATAATTTGACCAAAAAATCGATTATTAACTAGAAGTTTGAAGGCTTATAATTTTTAAACAAAAAAAAATCGAATAATGGTAAAGTGGGTACCAAAATTTTGGTATAACAGTGAAAACATGCGTGAACCTAATTATTTAAGTACAATACAATTTTACGTTTTTTAAATAAAGAGGACGTCAAAAATATTGTTTATTTGCCATAAATCCAGTGCTCTTCATATTTAACAGGTTAATTCAACGCCATTTTCATGCAGTGCTTTTCAAACTTTGCGACAATCATATGTTGCCCAACAAATGTTTCCAAGCAAAGCAACAGGTGATTAGAAAAAATAAAAACTGCATAAAACTCTTCGCCTCACAAATACAAAGTTCAATATGGGAAAGAGATGGAAATTAAACAAATAATCGGTAAATTTCAAGATACTTACCCCATACATACATATGTATGTATGTATGGTTTTACCTCTATCCATATTTTGTTGTGTTTTCATGAATGAATAGCAGAGGAGCAAGAGCACTCTGTAGGTGTAATGAAAAAAACACTTGAGAGCAAATACATCTATATACACATGTACACGAGAATGTATGTATATGCGCTAGTATTTGTGTGTTACTAAGAGATAACAGGTAAATAGAGTGATATAATTTCTGCCGGCGTTGATTTCCACCAGGGATGCCAATCTTTCTTACAAATAATTCAACTGAAGTAAAGGGAAAATGCCCAATTTGAATCTGGATGCACGAACATTTTATTGTTGTTATTTAAGGCACTCTATTGTATTTTTTGCACGATTGAAAACTCTCACATGGCACAAAAATTTATTTTTTCAATATTAGCTGCTAATTCTCCGCTTTTTAAGGTATTCCATAAACTTATAAATATTATATATTATATTATACGGCAATTTTGAGAGATCTTTGGAGCCAATATAGCTCTTATTTGTGTATATAATGCTAGTTTTATTCACCCAAAAATTTACCTCATTCGTGGTTTTCTTCCTAATTTTTTTGGAAAATATGTAATTTTTCATGCAGTTGATATCTCTGGTTGGTACAAACATATGCATTTCGATGAACGATAACATTCTCTTTACTTAAAAACTCGTATTCCTGGTTTGCAAAAGTTCACATCTAAGTTGTTTTGCCAGAACTATTTCAAAGATCCAACTTAAGGCAATTAATTAAAAAATATCAAAACACTAAACGAGCAAATAATTCAATTACCTTTTTCATATATCCAAGAAGGCTAATAATTTCAAAATGAAAACGAATATATATACATATATATTTCAGAATTTTGTTCATTGATGTGTTGGTGTATCAACTTTCGAATAATAATAATATTGTAAATTTAAGTTGGTATATTACACACCAATAAGCACAATTTTTACTAGTCTTTCCGTCCTTTTGATGTCGCAAGTTAAAAACTCATACCGTGTTTTATACGATGCCCAGACAGGCAGCGAGAAGACACTGAAAACGGGTTGAGTGTTTTATGAGCATTAGTTTTGGTTCACCTTGATTCTTATTTTAGAAAGCATAAAAAAACTGGTAGTTTACTACATAGGGATTTGGTTTTGAAAAAATATTAATAAAAGCTAATATAATTTTGATAAAAAAATAGGCGCCGAAAAACATATATGTATGTACTTTTGAAATTAGCAATTTTCAAAAACTTTGAAATGACAAAATATGCCTTCCACTGCGATGAGTTAATTGAAAAAACTTGTGCAGACATAAATTGGTTTGAATGGGGCGTGGGTTCTAAAGTTGTTTTCGGCAAAAACTAGTCTCTTTGCTAAATTAACCAGTGATACATGATGATACACCAGTGATTCATTCAAAATGGTGACGATTACTAAGAATAAAATTGGAATTTTCTGAAATCCAAACCAAACTCAATCAGCCCTAAGGTAAATTTCAATTTTTCTAACAAAACAGTTGAAAAGCAGTTAAAACTAGCTGGAAAATAGCTAGGATGGCAACACTGCTTTTGAGTGAGAACAGCGTAAAATTACCAAATTCAGGTTCGGTAATAAACTTTACCCTTCCCAATAAGAAATTATTACTATTGTTGGTATATCGCTAGTGAATTAAAGAAAATTGAGAAAAATGCAGCTTTACGGAACAATAGCTCAACCAACCATTAACATGCCTCATTTAAGATCATGTTATAAGTTTAATTGGATTCGGAAAAAAAGATTTAGGGACTCATGACGATCGCTATCAAATAAAGCTTCAGGTGATAAATCAAGACGTGAAGGTAACGGTAAAGACATAACATTTCAGAGCGTTTCCTACATTCGGGTTTCAACTTGATGTGCGCAAGTACAATAGCCGAGGGGTTATCAGAGTATTCTATCATGCGGAAGATTCTGGGTTCGATCAGCGTCCAAAATTTTAAAAAGTTTGGTTAATATCCCTAACCCTTCGGCAGAAAATGTCAACTTCTCCGAGTGTACTTATGACATCATCCTTATAAAAATCTATCAGCCGCCTTGAGGTCCACTTGGAATAAACTGCAGCTCCTTCCAAACATATCAGAAATCGGATGAGAAGCTCGTCTAATAATAAAAAAAAAAACATATTTTTCTTTCAAGGAAATGATATAGTACCCTATCGCAGATTTTTTTTTTCGAAAATATTGCACAATATTTTTTTTTTTTTCTTGATGTAGTTTCGGCTTCGACTCCGGTGTAGCATGATGCCATAATATTAAACAATCATTAGTTAACATTGCGCATTAACATTCTAAACTCCAGGGTTTAAGTACTGGTTTGGAAAACCTGACAGGGACGGTTCGTAAAACTAAAACATTATTCGATCGTCGTGAAACACATTGCCAGACCGCAATACAGAAATTTGATGGAAAAAATTAAACTGTTGGGACAAGTTAGTTATGTGAAGAACAAAATGTGCACTCCGCTCAAGAACTACTGAGTATACTGCTACTTTAGCCCAAAGTGCTGAAGAAATCTCAGGTATGTCCATTCGTCGCCGTTTTTGGAAATTGAGCATTCCACAAACGTTCATACATGAACTCAAGCCGGAGGAACATCAACAACGTCGCGACTTTGCTGATTGTGTCCTTAAAATGCATGAAAATTATCCAAATTTTCATCTAAAAACCATCTTTACTGTTGAGGCCCATTTTCACCTCGATGAATATATCAATAAGCAAAACTTGTTGCATCTGAGACTCGGAAAACCCCAGATTTATTGCTGAAAATACTCTCCAACCTTAACGTGTAATTATTCGGTGCTTTACCTTTTCCAAAACGAGGCTAAAGCAATTATTATGGTATGGTATGGAATGGTTTGCGCTTTCGAGAGATGACTTATAATTTGTTACCGACAACGTTTACTTTCAACCAGAAAGCGCTACGTGTTACGCCAGCAATGAAACCATCCGAAATTAAAGGAAAAGTTGCTTTGAATATCAAAACAACAACTCTTATTGGAAAATTCGATTTATATGTACCATCAAAATAAAAACTAAAGGAGGAGGATGTTTTGCCTGTCTTCTAAAGAGTAAGAGACACTTATAATTCCTATTGGATTTATATTTTATATATTTGAATGTAGTTCTTCAGGTAGAATCAATAAATATCTTAACAAAATCAAGCGAATATTCAAGCTAAAAAATTCCAACTGGGCCTTTGTGTGCACACGATATCTTTGTATATACCAGATATATACACGTACAAAAACCAACTGTCTGTAAGCATTTGGCCCTGATCTCTATTTCTCTGCTCCCACTTGTACACATTCGACAGACTGCGCGCATCCACTCGCACTGACACCTGAGTAAAAATATATGTAAGCATGTAGAGACGTACATAAGTAGTTTGCTGTGCAGAGCGAAAGAGAGTGCCAACGACAACACCGACGAGTTTTCAACAAGTTGGCATGGAGCGATCTGCGCTGAGCGGTTTGTGCCATTTACGATGTGGCGCTGCAATTCAGTCTACAATTTGGCTTATTCGCGTTGGTTTGATCGTCGGCCGATAAGCGGATGTCTGCAAACAAATAGCCAACTGGCAGGCAGTGTATAAAAGTAAGTGATTGTTGTTGCGCTCTGTTGTTGAACAAACGAATGAGTGAGTGAGTGAATAAGTTGTCGCCGCCGCCGCCGCCGCCGCCGCCGGCCCAGACAAAGGTGGAATAAAACAAGTGTAGAAAAAGAAGAAGAAGAAAATGCAAAAAAAAAAGAAGTGAAATAAATTTTTAATAAAAAAAAAACCTACTAAAAACGTACACACGTACATACTTATATACAAGAAATGAGAATAATGAACTTAAAGTTAATGCCGATGCTTTACCGTCCGCGACCGATTTCTTGTTGGTTAAAAGTGTAATGTGGTTTGGTCACTTACCAGTTTGTTAATGAAAAAAAAAAAAAAAAAAAATAATGCAGAAAATGAAGAAATGAAAGGATTTTACGTTAAAATATTAATGAAAACTACGTAAAAAGCAAACTGGCAGTTAAATTAAATAAAAAACGAAAATTAAGCAGTGAGTGAAGAAGAGTGAAGGCATTCAATTTAATGGTTCTAGGTATTAAACCAGAAAGCGTTTCAAAAGCAGCAAGAAAAAAGTAAAAACTGGTACAACAATGCTAACCGGACTGGGTGGTGCTGTGAAGAAAAAATGTGCAAAAGAATAGATTCATACATAACATATATATATAGATAATTTCAGCATTTCCTTATTCAGTCTGCAAATTTTTTTGCGGCCAAATCTGATTTTTATATTTTTTTCGGAATTATTAAGAAGAATTAAAAATTTTGTGTGTTCCGCTGTTTTTGTGTAGTTTCTTTTTATACACGTATGTATTATATCTTGCTACTGATTTGTGACAATAATAATAACATCAAAAAACGATAAGAAAAATTTGCAATATCAGCGAATAAATATACAAAGTTGCTGCTGCTGCAATGGAAATAAAATTCACAATGCAATTTTTTATTGCTTTTTTGCAAGTGTGTTTGCTCTGAGCGCAAGTGTGTGTATGTGTGTGTGTGATTTTATGCCACTCTTGTGTTGTCTGTTGCATTTTTGGTTATTTTGGCTAATATAAATGTGTTTATCCCCAACAGAAGGCAACTCGGACGAGATAACAAATTGTGGCATGAAATGTAAATATCTGCAAAAAATATTTAATTGTTGTGAAAATGGATAAAAACAAAAAATGTGTGCGATTTAAAGTTAACCATAAAGTGTCACTATTATTAAAAAAAAACAATTTAAAATTAAATAAGTTGAAAAAAATGAATGTGCAAATTTTACGTAGGTAAAAATGAATTTGCCTTTCAATACAAATACATATATAGATATTAGATATTTATGTATATGTATATATTCGACCAACTGCATTAAACAAATAATAGTAAATAAAACAAAATTTATCTTCGTCATCAACCGCGTACAGCAATAGCAAGAGCGGCCACTAACAACAAGCAGCATTAGCAATAACAACAAATTTATAGTTATATTGCCTTTGCATACATGTATGTATATATGTATATGTGTATGTGTATCGAAGCGTGTTTCTGTGAAAATATACCTACATACATACATACATACATACATACACATATAAAAGTGGTGAAAAACACGTTTGGCCGAACATACTTATCTAAACACATATCACCACATCGGTATATGTACATTCATAATGTATAGATTCAGTTACATTTGTATGTAATTGTACTCCTACATATATGTATTGATACCTCTGGCTCGGTTTGTTGGTAGAAAAACATAAATATTTTCAAGCAAAACAATCGCAAAATGCAATAATTAATAGTGAAATAACGATACCTCGACCGACCAACTTCATTATAAATACGTATACAATTATATATATGTATATGTATGTGTAAAGTTAAACAACTCCAAATACACGTTCGTATTCTAGTAAGCAGTGTTGCCGCGTTTAGCAAAAATACATTATTAAATGATTTAGTGTTTAAATTTTTTTTCTTTATTCAAATGAAAGAGAAACTGCCTAGCTATAATAAGTGTTTACATCTTTGACTGAGAAAGCCGGGAAGGATCCGTGGAAGTATTTTTGGCCATACTGAAATTTTGAAATTTTCAATCCTCAACAAGTTTTGCGGAAACTTTAGTTTAGAGCCTGTCGTTGTTGTTGTTGTTGTTGTGACACAAAGAACCTTTTGGGGGATGTTGCGGGAGTGACAGTCCTTGGCCGGGTAAAAACCCGGGTCGTTCCGATATAAAGACCCGACTGTCGCTGGAACTATTGGATTTAAGTCGCCTCTGACGACAGGCAGGCCCTATCGCAGGTAAATACAATACTTAAGCCCTCCGTTGCTACTCCCTGCAATCTACAAATTAGCAATAAACATCGTATATCGCCAATTTGCGCTAATTGGATTTAAAGACGAAAATACCTACGGTCTCAAAGTTATGACAATGCGCCGACTGTTTGTTCGATGACGAAAGATATTTCGTCCTGCCCTCGTTCACGTCCAGACCCCATACACTTCGCTTTTTTATCCAGTCTAGTGGACGCAGAACTCACGGCGTCATGCTGGTAAGCCATCGGTTATTCGAACCTCCTCATAATCGGGTAACAGAACGTCTTTTCCATCATCATCGATTAGAGTTTTGAGTTCGCCATCTCCGAATTTTGTTTTATCACAGCCATTCAGTAGGCTGGTGAAGTGTTTCCTCTATACACCAAGTAAGTTCTTGACATCGGTCACAGGATTTCTACTTTGATTCTACATGAGTATGCTCCGGTATTGAAGCCTTTGGTTAGTCGCCGTACTTTTTCGTTGAATTCTAGTTCCAGCATTATCCTTGCTCTCTTCGATTTTAAAAGGATCATTTTTTCTCATTAACTTTTTAGGAAGTTCTTGGTCTTTATTTTTTCTCAAATTAACAACACAAAATCAAATAGCAGATATTTTTGTAACCTCCTATTTCGCGGGTAACAAATTTTACCGGATGACAGTGAACTCAGAATACGAAATAGTAACGAAATTTACTGAATGGTAAATTGTAATGCGAAAGTAAATTTTATTACCACGATAGAATGATCTGTAACTGCTAACATTATTTCCCATTGGGCACATTCTTAGAGCTACAAGAGCCCCAGCACTGCGGCTTCTGATCACTCAGTTGCTCACGCTCAACTATGGGTGAATATGCATATATGTAGGCACACACATATGGACTTTTATGTATATGTTTCTAAATGTGACTACGTTCAGCGTCCTGCGGTCCGAAAAGCTGTTGGCTTTTTTCGTGGTTACCACCAACACGCTTCAGTTGTCAGCATATTTGTAAACATTGTTATGTGCATATGATATTTATACATATGTATGATGGAAATTGCTGTTTAGTTGGTAAGTTACAATTACCGTTATGCACTGCTGCATTAACAAACACACACAAATGGTGCATATACACGTATGTATGCGTGTGCACATCAGATGCGTGGGGGGTTTTTATTCATATATTTGTATTGGTATGTACATACATATGTATTGCCAATATTAATTTCATTAAATGCAATTGGTCAATGGTCTTTATACAAAAACTTACGGGATCTAAAGCAATGAGATGCTGCTCAAAATGTCAATTTAATCTGAAAAGAGTCAGTTGGTCGAAATCTGTCATCAACAATCTTCGTATGTATATTATATAGGCAAGTACATTTGCATATGCATATCCCAGCAAACCCAGCAAACTGGAGATCCATTGGGGAATTCAAATCCATACATACATAAATATGAATAAATATTTTGATGCGATTCCTTTCGGAACGCAGCAGATGTGGAAAATACATGATCCTCTACGAGCCGTTGGAACGATGAACTGTATGAGATATATGGCGACACTGACATAGGTCATGTCGTCCGGATGGATAAGAATATCCCAACCTTGAATGTCTTTGTCCTGTACATCGCAGTTCTTGGAGCGAGAAGATGTCAGAAGGTAGTCTTTCAATTGCATGACCTAAGTCCGGGTACTTAAATCGTTTGCAGTGGTCGTCATCAAAAGTGGAATCTCTCATATGAGGCATTGTTGATTGCTTTCCTTTTCTTTGGAGTTAGTTTCTAAGTGGCTAGTCCCAAAACCAGCGCTACAGAAGAAATCTAAGCCATAACATGACGGACTAAAGCTCCCTTCCTATTAGCCGTGACAAAGGACTTCAAGGAGATTGGTTGCCGCATTTCTCGCGGAGTCTGCTCATGTTTCCGGAGTATACAATTGAGACGGAAGAATAGGAATTAAAAATAGTTTTGCAGCTTAACAGTATACGCTGAAGCAGGGCTACCGGATTAGAACTATGCCATGTGCATCTTTTTCAAAGTCAATCCAATAACTGAGCACCTACAAGTACCTTCTTCTCAACATGACAAAATTGCAGTCGTTTTTCGAACATACCTTATGCTTCAATGACGAAAACGAAAACATTTACTGGGAAAATTTTATTTTTTTTTTATTATCTCACACACATCGAAACGCTCACATTTGCAGCAGTTAAAGTGACAGGTAAGCAAATTCCCTCAACTGCCGCATCTCAGCTCAGTATTGGTGAGAGGCGCATATTCATTCAACAAACTTAGAGTCCCTGCAGGAATATTCGAGGGCAAAGTTGTTGTGTTTTTAATTTGGCAATCAGCTCCTGCGACATCACATACAAAAGGAAGAAAGAAGTGCTGTTCTCGGACTAACGAAGTCTTTAATTCTCCTATCGGAACCAATCGATTATATGGAGGCTGCAAGCTAGAGATGTCCGATGTAGTTGGTTTCCGGTATCGACATTTCAAAATCAATTGAAAAGTCTGAAAAATATAGCAGTCTTGCAGGCGAATAATATAGTCGCATTTGGTTCCAATAAGAGACTCAATCATATAACTGCCCGGTAAATCTCGTTGAAATATTCCAATCCGTTCAAGCTGGCGGCGGTAGCTTGATCAAATCAACTCGGCATATATTTCCATTCTTCTACTCCCAGTATTGCATTCCTAGGACCAAAAATATTATGTCATTATCTCTCACATTGATCGTTGGTCTCAG